TTTTATTTTCCACTCTTTGAGGCAGAGAGAATGAGTTACCCATCTACTACAAAAGTAGGGGATTGGGCTGAAACCAGGACCCAGATGGTCTTGCAGATGATGGCAAGCAGGGACTGAACCGCCTCCATTAGCAGGGAGTGAGATCACAGTGGAGCGGCTGGGGCTCAAACCAGATACAATGTTTTGGGATGTGTTTGTCCCAACCAGTCCTTTAACCTGCTGTAATTTAATGTCCACTCAACTGTCTTTTTTGATTTGTTGGTTTTTATTGGAAAGTCAGATTTACCAGGAGGAGAGACAGACAGATAGGTCTTCCATCCATTAGTTTACTCCCCAAGAGGCTCCAATGGCTGGGGCTGAGCCATCCGAAGCCAGGAGCCAGGAGCCAGGAGCCAGGAGCTTCTTCTGGGACTCCCATGTGGGTGCAGGGTCCCAAGGCTTTGGGCCATCCTCGACTGCTTTCCCAGGTCACAGGCAGGGAGCTGGATGGGAAGCAGCCAGGACACAAGGCAGTTGTGCGTATGGGGTCTTGATGTCTTTTTCAATAGGAAGTGAGAGCGAAGAGCAGTAATTTAATGTAACACTGATTGGCAATGCTAATACCTTAAGGAAACACACACACACACACACACCACACACACATACCTACACCTACCTCTCTACCTGGATTGAATTCCTGGCTCCTCCTCCTTGGGTGCACGGTGCTAAGACCTTGGGCCGTCTTCAGCTACCTTCCCAGGTCACAAGCCAGGAGCTGGATGGAAAGCAGGGCCATCGGCATTAGAACTGACAGCCACATGGAACCTTGGCACATGCGATGTGAGGACTTTAGCCACTCAGCTACTGCGCCAGGCCCAAAGAATAAAGCATTTATTCTTCTTGTAGATCTGTGCCTTATGCTTAATTGATTTGAGGACTCAAACATTTTAAACACATGACCAAAAGCCCATTATGTTGTTTCAGCTTTTGATTAAAAGAAGACAATATTATAGGCCCGGTGCGGTGGCCTAGCAGCTAAATAAAGTCCTTGCCTTGAACACGCCAGGATCCCATATGGGTGCTGGTTCTAATCCCAGCAGCTCCACTTCCCATCCAGCTCCCTGCTTGTGCCCTGGGAGAGTGGTCGAGGATGGCCCAAAGCCTTGGGACCCTGCACCTGCGTGGGAGGCCTGGAGGAAGTTCCTGGTTCCTGGCTTCGGATCGGCACAGCACAGACCGTTGCACTCACTTGGGGAGTGAATCATTGGATGGAAGATCTTCCTCTCTGTCTCTCCTTCTCTCTGTATAACTGACTTTGCAGTAAAACTAAATAAATCTTAAAAAAAAAAAAAAGAAGAAAATATTAGGTTAAAAAAGTGATCATGGTAATTGTCAAAAACACCCTTGATAAGGTATCTGAATGTTTGATAATTTATCTGATACTTTGATATTTGTTTATCTGGTATTTTTAAAAGTGTAAAGAATTTTGGACCCCTTGCGGTAGCCTAGCTGCTAAAATGGTCGCCTTGCACACACACCGGGATCCCATGTGGGTGCCAGTTCTAATCCCGGCAGCCCCGCTTCCCATCTAGCTCCCTGCTCGTGGCCTGGGAAAGCAGTCGAGGATTTCCAAAGTATGTTCATGATTTAATGGTTTGTGTTTTCTTTGCTAAGTCATATTTCTTTGTCGATTTTTGACATTGTTTGAGTTTATCCATTTGGCTGTTGATTAGCATTTGGGTTTCAGTTTTCTTGGGCTACTTATGTTATTTTTTTGTTTATTTATTTGAAAGATGGTTTGAATGACTGACAGATGTTTCATCCTGTTTCCCCAGTTGTCTACAACAGCCAAGCTGGGCCAAATCCAGGAACTTCCTGTAGGTCTCCACCCTGGGCGGCAGGGCCTGAAGTCCCTGAGCTGTCACGTGCTGTTTCCCAAAGTGTGTGCTCGCTGGGAGCATTTAGATGTAGGATACGCGCATCCCGTGGGCACCAAACAACCACACCATTTGCACCATTTCAGTTGGTGCACGTATGCTTTGAGGTCTAAAGCTTTTGCTGGCCTCTCCCAGTATCAGCAGTTTATTCTGCACAGTAGCAAGTTTACCTTTTTGAAACTTTTTAGTTTTAGATTGAGCGGTAGGTGCTGGTTCTGAGGTGGGAACTGGAGTCCGCTTAGAACCTTGGAGCGGCCTGCGCAGTTGAGGCACATCACGTATTGTGGCTTGCATGATTTACTCCTCTCCTAACTAGCACATGTAGTTTTCTGTCATTTTAATGTTTCTCTCCCATATCCAAAACTGACACCCCTCCCTTTGTTCCAGTAGCTTGGCAAGTCACTATCTCTGGTGTCTCTTTACCCATTTGTGGTGAGAGTAATATAGGATCGCACGAATTCTTTGCACTCTTCGATTCACCTTGCTGGGGTAAACGATCCAGTTTAGACTGGTTGTTGTGGTGTGGGGTGGTTGGCAAGAAGGGGCTAGGAGACACAGCCAGGAAGCACCTTCTGGATCAAGTCCTTTAGTTGTGATCACACAGTTTTCATTTACAGAGAACGTATTGCTTGTCAGGAGAGACAAGCAACTCTGTCTTTAAGCATGACTTTATTCTGATAAATTTCCAGCATTGTTCTGCATAATTTTGATGGGGAAGCAACGCATGCTACTTACTGTGTAGAATCAGGTGAGACACAATAGATTTTCACAGTTAGTGAAGCGCTAGACTGGGACAGCGTCCCCTAGGGGAGTGGAAGCTCATGGACACCGCTGAGAGAGACTGGACAACTGAGATCCAGGGACAGTGTGAGCCAGGCAGGGCTTGTTTGAACAGAAAGAGCTCTCCGTGTTGGGGTTGGGAGTATGGCCCTGCAAACTGCAATAACGAACTAAAATTGGCTTGGGAAACCATTTCGTTTTCCCTCTTGTGAGCCTCAGTGACAGTATTCATGAAGTCACCTGTCTGGTTGGAATGATGGCTGTGAGTTTGTAAATGATAAATGCCTGAGCATTGCCTTGTACGTGGTAAGCCACTGTTATTTTCTACCGTTTCTTTCCCCCCCCTTTGTTAGAGAATCATTGGTGTGTGAAGACTTGCGTGGCATGTCTAATTGTTATTTATTAAAGCATAATCTGTTTTCCTCAGAGCAATAAGTAATTGCCGTTCACTGTCATAGGTACATGTGTAGTGCTTGGATCTTCAGTATACTGAAAGAAAGTGATTATTGTGAAAAATCTATTTGGAATTCAGATTTTTATGCACCGAAATAAGCTTCCCTTTCTCATCTGTTTTCCCTTGAATAGTCAATGTGTGCTTAGGTCTGGCCATTTCCTACCACAGCAAAGTTTTCAAAGTTATTTAGAGGAACATTTTACACAGTCATTCAGTTCATGCTTTAAATTTACTTTTGGAATAGTTGCTTGAAATAAACTGTCCAATTTAATTATTTGTAGATTTGTTGTCTGACATGGAAAAACTGGGATAATTACGGTGGTTTTTGCGCTTTTACTAAGCCCTTAATTAGAGTGGAAGTATTGTATTTGATTAATACAGTTTTGGTAATTAACTACATGAACCTCTAGGATTCATTTTTTTTTAAAAAAGACTTACGTATTTTTATTGCAAAGTCAGATATACAGAGAGGTGAGACAGAGAGGAAGATCTTCTGTCCGTTGATTAACTCCCCAAGTGAGCGTAATGGTCGGTGCTGAGCCAATACCAAGCCAGGAATTTCCTTCAGGTCTCCCACGCGGGTGCAGGGTCCCAAGGCTTTGGGCCGTCCTCAACTGCTTTCCCAGGCCACAAGCAGGGAGCTGGATGGGAAATGGAGCTGCCAGGATTAGAACCGGCGCCCATATGGGATCCTGGTGCGTGCAAGGCAAGGACTTTAGCCACCAGGCCACCACATCGGGCCCTAGGATTCATTTTAGCTTGCTTACTATGAAATTACATATATCAGTTAGAACCAATAAAAATGAATTATCTGTACTTGTTAATGTGACTTATTTTTTTAGGCTCTACCTGTGAAGGAAGAGCTTTGGAGAAGCTCATAGCTCCTTTCTTAGGTCTTTTTTTCTTGTGACTTAGAAGTTTTGCTTTCTTTTTATTGAGGTAATATGGGCGATGCTGTGACAGGAATAGCTTCCTCTGAGTGATCCTATCGTAAAATGCCTCTTGCTTCCTAAGTGTACTGTAACCTGCATTCTGCTATCATTAGCCGGTGTTCCCAAAAGGCCAATAGTGTAGTACAATAACTAGCATATTATGTTTATTAAAACTGTTTCACAGGGAGGCTGTAATAGATATTTGATTTTTAAAAATCCCTTGGCTTTTACATTAGCCAACTGTGAGTTGAAATTATTTAGGGGAAAATTTTGCATCAAAAGTAAATATGTACAGATGATTTTCCCCTTACTATTATTCCCTAAACAATATTCTGTGGGAATATCAGATACTGGTGTACATTGAGTTTGACTTCTGTTGCTTTTGTTTTGATAGTATTTTCCTCATTTATCTGATGTGAGACCGTGTTGCTGAATTGACAAAGTATTTGTGAAATGTTTATAAAACTCCTGTAGCAGTGACAAGTTAGGTAAATAGCTTATCCATATGTCTCATATTCTGTATAATCTAGAATGAAGTTAATGAAAATGACCTGTAGTGTGTTTTTTTTTTTTGTGCACATGATTTAGACTACAGTATCATGTTAGATGTTTATATCAAATATTGCTGCGCATTGGCTTCATCTGTGCTGACGTAAGTTACTGTGGAACACTGATTTCACTGAAGAGGGGTTAGGGTGTGCGTGTGTGGAGCTACAAAAGCCCCCCGCCGCCATGCGCGCTGCACATGTGAGTAAGCTGTAGGAAATCATCTTGAGCTTCTTGAGTTTGAAACTTTACTCTCTTTGCTAGGTGCTCTCCCATCTTGGTACTTCTGTGAGGATCAAAATGGGCTCAGGAAAACGGTGAGTTTTCCCTGTAGGGTTTTGGCTAGTATTGAACTTGTTTCTCTTCTTTTAGTTGTGCGGTCCGAGAAGAAGCGCCTTAGGAAGCCAAGCAAGTGGCTTCTGGAATATACAGAAGAGTATGATCAGATATTTGCTCCTAAGAAGAAGCAAAAGAAAGCACAGGAGGTGCACAAGGTATGTTGTAACATTGCAGCAGATTTTCATTCTCTTCAGAAGGTCATGATTTTCTTAAGCGGGGATCAGGTTTTGATACTTAGGCATGGTACCTGGGATACAGTAGGTACTTAGGACGTGTGTGTGTATGCGCATGCGTGTGCATGCGTGTGTGCTCCAGGGACTTGAAAATATTGTTATGTTACAATGTCATGGGTATGATAGGCTAAAAAATAAAGCACATAGTCGTCGTCGTCGTCTTCTTCTTCTTCTTCTTTTTTATAAAGATTTATTTTATTTTTATTGGAAAGGCAGATATACAGAGAGGAGAGACAGAGAGGAAGATCTTCCGTCCGATGATTCACTCCCCAAGTGAGCGCAACGGCCGATGCTATGCCGATCCGAAGCCAGGAGCCTCTTCCGGGTCTCCCACGCGGGTGCAGGGTCCCAAAGCTTTGGGTCGTCCTCGACTGCTTTCCCAGGCCACAGGCAGGGAGCTGGAAGGGAAGCGGGGCTGCCGGGATTAGAACCGGCACCCATATGGGATCCCGGGCGTGCAAGACGAGGACCTTAACCACTGCGCCGGGCCGCGCCAGGCCCAAGCACATAGTCCTCTAATTTAAATATTGTGATACCTTATTTACCATATTTACTTTTGGGGGGAAGGTTATTTGTTTGAAAGTCAGGGTGACAGAAGGAGAGAGATCTTCCATCTATTGGCTTATTTTCCCGATCACCACAGCAAAAATAGGGCCAGTTCAGGATGAAGCCAGTAGCCCAGAATTCTGTCTGGGACTCCCGTGTGGTGGGTGGCAGAGTCCTCAGTATTTGGACCATCATCTGCTGCTTTCCTGGGCACGTTAGAAGGAAGCTGGGTGGATGCAAAGCAGCTGAAGCTCAAACCAGAGCTCCGCTGTGGGATCCCAGTGTTGCAAGGTGAGGGTTTAGCCAATCAGCCATTGTACCGGACCTGTCAAAATTTTCTTTATTTAAACCAATGTCTCATAAGGTATTTTGAGAGTTTCTCCTAAAGACCTTTCTATGCAACTCCTAAAAAGAAAAAAAAAATTCCTTCATAACTAATTACATTTTAATTTCATGAAATTTCCTGGATTTATCAAAGCCAGGAATCCAGCCTAGGGCTCTACATTATGTTCTGTTTTTATAGTTCTTGGGTGTTTTTTTTTTTCCTCTTTGTGTTGGCAGGGTGCGGGGGGGGGGGAAGGGAATAGGGGAGGTTTATTTGTTTATCTAGAGAGAATTAGAAATATTTTCCATCTGCTGGGTCACTCTCCAGAAGGCTGCAACAGCCTGACCTGGGCCAGGAAGATGTCAGAGGCCAGGAGCTTCTGGGTGTCTCCCATGGTCAGCAGGACTCATCCTCTGCTACCTTCCCATAGTACCAGCTGGGGGGAGATGGGAAACCGTGAAGTGCCATCATGTGATGCCAGTCATATCTTGCCCCCTGGAGCACAGTGTGGTCCCCTACAGTTCTTCAATCTCTCTGCGTCTAGCTGCTTTTTTCTTGACCTCATCGGTATTAGCAGAGAAGCAGCGCACCAGTGATTTTGTAGCTTGTGATGGTTTCCTGATTAGATGCCTTGCAGCTTATTTTCCCAACCTCTTTTATTTCCTCCACGTTTTTCAAAGGCGAAATGACAGAGTGAGGGAGCCATTCACCTGTCTCACTCCTCCGACAGGGCTAGACGGAGCCAGAGACCACTGCCCAGGCCTCGTGGACACATGAGCAGGCATTGGACTGCAATCAGAGGTCGGACTCCAATCCCAGACCTCCCAGGATGTGGGCTTAGTCTCCCAAACAGCAGATTAAACAGTGTGCCACAATGTCCTACCCTCCAGTGCCTTTAAGTGAAACCATTTTCTGAATTCGAAATAAGCATTTTTAGCCAAATTACAGTATGTACGGTACTGTATCAATACTTTCATGATCCTAGAAGGTATATCCTATATTCTTACCTACAGCGATAACTCCTTTCCGTGTCTGAAGTTATATTGGAGTATGTGCTTCCAGAGAACATCCTGTTCAAACTCCATTTATCTGTTTTGTTTTTTTTTTTAAACAGATCCATGGCTGTTGCCGTAGTCATGTGATGGGTTTATAAGGTGAAAACTTAGAATTTTTATCTCTCTACATATATATTTTTAAAGGTTTATTTTTATTGGAAAGTCAGATATACAGAGAGAAGGAGAGAAAGAGAGGAAGATCTTCTGTCCGATGATTCACTCCCCAAGTGGCCGCATTGGCCTGAGCTGAGCTGATTCGAAGCTAGGGGCCTGGAACCTCTTCTGGGTCTCCCACACGAGTGCAGGATCCCAAGACAATGGGTTGTCCTCTGTTTTCCCAGGCCATAAGCAGGGAGCTGTATGAAATGTGGAACAGCCAAGATATGAACCCGAATCCATATGGGATGCCAACACTTACAGTAGAGAATTAGGCAGTTGAGCCATCTCGCCAGCCCCAGCACACCACACTATTTTCTACCTTATTTGTTTTATTCTAGCCATTTCATGTAAGTGGACTCATGCAATATATATTTTTAATTTATTTTTGATAAGCTTTACATAGTTAATTACAGCAAAAGGTTCAAGGGCTACAGGAAAGTGGATAAGACTATAATTTCCACATTGTTTTTTTTTCCCTGTATCTGGGGAGATAAAGGGAGAAGCCCCACCCAGTCTCCCTCCCATCCCAGGTCCCTGATGTGGGGCATGCTCCGAGGGCCCTGCTCACATGGTTTTGATAGTTCAAAGCTCAGCCAACCCTCACCCACTCTAATTTATGCTTGCCCCAGTAGGAACAGTCAACTCAACCTGGCTTTTCCCTGATCTAGTTCACATGAGGCCCACAGGTGTTGTAGCCCTGCCTAGTCTGGTCTGCCCCCATCCCAACCCATCCTCTCCAGTGGGAGTGGTTGTCTAACAGGGGAGCGACCTTGGGGTCTGGGGCTTTAAACTTCTAGTAGCCCATTGGCTGCTGGTGGGTGCCAGTTCATGATGGATCATTTTCATACTCAGAGCCCCAATTCCAGCCACCGCGTACACGGTGAGCTGTTCCCTGGCCTGCCTGAGCTCCAGAGGCTGCTCCCTTCATGGTGAGTACACTGAGAGGGTAGTCTGGAGAATAGGGCGGGCCTGGGCCCCACCCGCCACCAACATTGCTTGGTAGATGGGATTGGGGAGGGAGAGACCTTGGGGTCTGGAGGTTAAAACTTCCAGCAGCCTATTGGTTGATGGTGGCTGCCAGGCTGGGATCCTCTTCATGCTCAGAGCCCCAGTTCCAGCCACCGTGTACATGTGGTGAGCTATCCCTGGGCCTGCCCAAGCTGCAGAGGCTGCTCCCTTCATGGTGAGTACACTGAGAGGGGAAGTCTGGAGAACAAGGTGGGCCCAGGCTCCACCCACCACCAACATTGCTTGATGGATGGGATTGGGGAGGGGCGACTTTGGGGTCTGGAGGTTAAGACTTCCAGCAGCCTTTTGGCTGCTGGCGGGTTCCAGGCTGCGATCGTCTCTGTGCTCAGAGCCCCAGTTCCAGCCACTGGCTGTGAGCTCTGGGGTTTTGGAGCTTTGAATTACTGCCTAGGTAGCTCCATGTTGAGCCCATTCTGCTTTCATTTTTTTGAATCAATGCTGAAGACTCCCAAGGACAGAGTAACTTTTCCTTTGAAGGTAAGCGAGGGTACTGAGACCTGGTAGGTTGGAGGAGAGGGACCAGATGATCTTTGTGGATAAGACTGATATACCAGCCTCCTTTGAGTCCCGTGTAGAACTTATTATCACTGAACAATGCTGAACACCATACACCAGCCCATGCAAATGCTAAGGCTTAGGGCTTGTCTAGCAGGACCCTATCGTATTACCTGACATGATGATGGATCAGCAGACGGGTCACATCAGGCAGGGACATGACATTCACTAGCACAAGAGAACCATTTCCGGGGGTAGATTCTGTGGGGGATGTGTGGGTCAAACCCTGTGGAAATTCTAGCCCCACTGGTTAGCTCAAGAGTTGGGGTTGTGATGGATTAAGCTAGCTGTGACCAAGGAGCCTGCCAACAATCACAGGTAAAGGAACTGACAACAGTCTGGATTGGTCAAGGCAGCAGCACCTGAATGTGCAACCTAAATAGGGTGTGGGGTGGGCCAGGCTGAAATGTTTACCAGCTCATACAAGGCCAAATGGAAGATCAGACTATGCTGGACACTGGCCTAACATCCACTGTCATGTATGAGAACTGGGTCTGGGAGTGGGTCAAGTGGAGGAACTTGGGAAAATCTCCTGATGGGTCATAGCTTCTGCTGACGAACACGTGGTTCAGACCTGGTGGTGGGACAAGCTGGGCAAAGTAGCTCCAGTGGCTGGCTGATGTGTGGGCTGGTAATGGAACGGGGTGGACCAGGCAGGATGAAGCACAGATCATGCTGAGCTAGGCTCTTGCATCTGCTGGTCTGCATGAACCAGGGATGCTAAGCCACAACATTTAAGGCAGGGACCGGGACAGGTGATGGGCTGTGTCAAGCTGAGTCAGAGCAACCACTGGCATGTGTACAATCTATGGCTGGGGACAGGCCTGCTTGGGAGGTAAGAGACACCCTAGCTGGGTTTAGATTCCCACTGAGGAGCACATGGGCTGGAATGGGGCTGCGTTCTGATCTGGATATGGGTGTAATCTCCCTTGGCACAAGTGTGGGCTGGGACTAGATGCACCAAGCCAAGCTAGACTCCAGCACCACCTGGTGCTCTGGAGGACCAGGGTAGATGTGGGACGGACTAGGCTAGGACTCAGGCCCTACTGAGCCATGTGTGAGCTGTGTCTCGGTATGGATGAGTCTTGCTGGGCTGAAACATCAACAATAAGAACCAGATTGGGTTGAAGGCCAGTCAGGAAAGGCCACTGTTCCTACTAGGACAAGAGGTGAACTGAGTAGGGCTACCTCATGAACCCACTGGTATGCGTGAAATCTGACTCATGCAATATTACATATCGTGTTTTTCTTTTGTCTCATATTCTCTAAGTTCATCCATGTTTGTAGTATATGTTAGAATTTCAGCTTTATTTCAAACACATTTCTGTTCTTGCCACACATATTTTCAACACTTTTGGCATGTGGATTGCATTTTAATATTTTGTTCTTAGGTAAATTCCCGCTGTGAAGACGAAAGCCTTCTAGCTCGATGTCAATCTAGTACCCAGAACAAGCAGGTGGACGAGAATTCTTTACTTTCAACCAAAGAAGAGCCTCCAGTTCTTGAAAGGGAAGCTCCGTTTTTGGAGGGGCCCTTGGCTCAGTCAGAGCTTGGAGGTGGAAACGCCGAGTTGCCGCAGCTAACGCTGTCTGTGCCTGTAGCTCCAGAAGTCTCTGCACGAGCTGCGCTTGAGCCTCAGGAACTGCTTGTTAAAACACCAGGTAAGGCTGGGATGGGGTTTTAACATGTAAGCAGATGTCATTGGGGGAAGTAGGAGATTTTAGTGTGTTTTGGTGTGTATGGAACAAACTCCCCACTTTTGTCCTGGGAAATCCCTATAATGCTGATTTTATGATAGCTACCGTTACTCCTTGGCACATTGAACAGGTATGTAAACACTACGCCCCATGCTCTGCTGTTATCAACATTGTTAATTAGTCCCTGGGTGACATGAGCCACCAGGATGATCAGGCTTGCGAAGGGTCCCTGCACAGTGATGGACACTTGTGAATCAATCAGGTATTTGCTTCATTCATCCTTCTGTTACTCAGAAGGTGTTTAACCTCTGAAAATTTTGTGCATCCCCAAGATGGAAATTACAATGTAGATCCTTTCATGCTTAATATGTAGTAAAACAGCTAGTAAATACAAATATTCCTAGAAGTTACTTTCCTGTTGCTTTTGGTTTATCGTGCTTATAAAGATCTATTTATTTGAAAGGCAGAGTTAGAATAGATCTTCCTTCTGCTAGGTCACTCCTCCCAAAGGGCTGCGACAGCTGGGGTTGGACCAGGAGAAATGGCCACAGTGGCTGGAGCTGAGATCATCTGAAGCCAGGAGCTTCCTCCATGCCTACCACTGGTGCAGGGTCCCAAGGCTTGGGGCCATCCTATACTACCTTCCCAGGCCACAAGCAGGGAGCTGGATGGGAAGTGGGGCAGCCAGGACACAGACCTGTGCCTGTGTGGATTCCTCGCACAAGCAAGGCCCTCATTTTTTTTTTTTTAATGTTTGTTGATTTTTATGGAAAGACTGACTCACAGAGAGACAGAAAGAAAGCTTTTTATCTGCGGGCTCACTTCCCAGACCCGGCTGCAGCACCTGGAGCTGAGCTAGGAGCCAGGACCCTCCTCCAGCTTTCCAATACGGGTGCAGGGTCCCAAGGCTTTGGGCTGTCCTCTGCTGTTTTGCTGGGCCACAAATAGGGAGCAGGATGGAAAGTGGAGCAGCCAGGACACAAACCAGCACCATATGGGATCCCAGAAGCACTTGTAAAGGGAGCATTAACCAATTGAGGCATTGCGTTGGGCCTGTGGCCTCCGGCTTTCATCTTTTTTTTTTCTTTTTTTTGCACATCACCTGGGAGAGCTAAAATCATTGTTTCTAGTTGTCTTTGACTCTTGACTTGTTTAGTGAGCCACAGGATATCAAGAACTCTTTTGTATACCCTGTAAATTTGTGAACCTAACTTTTTAATGTTGAAACAATAGTTTATGATGTTACACTCTCAAAGAAAAAATAACTTCAATTGTGCTTCATCTCATGGCAGAGATAGAAAGATGTAATTTAAAGTTATTCTATATGAAAGGCAGAATGAGAGAGATCTTTAATGGCTTGTTCACACCCCACACGGTGCCGCGGTCGTTGTTGGGCTGAGCCTGAGCCAATGAGCAGGGGCTCCATCCTGCTTCTCCCGCGACGGCCCTGGTGTTGGCAGTGTTATCGCGCCTCTGCGCTGCATCCCCGGAGAGCAGGGTTGGAAGCAAAGTCAAACCGTCTCCGATACGGGATTCGGTCATTACAGGGGCCGCGTAAGCTGCTGTCCCCTATAGCAAAAAGATTTTTGTCAGTGTAAGAGATACTATTATGAGCCAAATATAAGGCTTTTTAATATAGTTTTCTTAAGAGTAGATCAACAAAGTGTCTTATTTGTGTCAGAGCAAAAAAAGTGTGCACACACAGAACATTCTCACATTAGTTTTTATCTTCACTGAATAAAGTGTGGTTGTAGTTTTTAAAAATATTTATTTATTTATTTTTATTGGAAAGGCAGGTTTACAGAGAGGAGAGACAAAGATCTTCTGTCTGTTGGTCCACTCCCAAGTGCCCGAAACGGCTGGAGCAGAGCCAATGTGATGCCAGGAGTTTCTTCTGGGTCTCCCACATGGGTGCAGGATCCCAGGGTCTTGGACCATCCTCGACTGCCTTCGCAGGCCACAAGTGGAGCAGCCAGGATATGAACCAGTGCCCATGTGGGATCCTGGCAGTTACAAGGGGAAGACTTTAGCCACTATGCTATTGCACCCAGCCCAAGTAATAATTAATAATAAATAATTCCCTATTCTGTCCTTCTCTGTAAGGTAATAAGGAAAACTCAAACAGTATTGTTACTCAATTTGTGTGGTATATAGATCTTTTCAAAATTTGCTTGTGCTGAATTTCAAATCATCTAATGAAAGATACATGCATTTCAGGAAATTATGAAAGTAAGCGCCAACGGAAGCCAACTAAGAAGCTTCTTGAATCCAATGATTTAGACCCTGGATTTATGCCTAAGAAGGGTGACCTTGGCTTTTCTAAAAAGGTATGCTAGTTTTTCAATTGTAAGTTAGTTATACCAGGAAATAGGGGATTTTAAACACTACCATCTTAGTAACATGTGTGACCTTGGAGGAAGTCCCTTGTCCTTGATTTTGCTTTCTGCAATTTACATTAGATATCTTTAACCACAGTCCCAAAGCATTTCTTGGAAGATTTCTGTAACCTAGTCTATAACTTTTATATATTACACACAAATCTAAGTAATGCAATGAAATTCCATACTTTCCCACTTTCCTGCTGGGATATAATTCATTGTTTAATTGGTTATATCAAGTACACCACCTGCCTAGTAGCTTCTCAGTATGTTAGACTAACTCTTCGTGCTATTGCATGGCTTGTGTTCATGTAACCATTACTTAAAAATCTCCCAAAATACAAAGGCACTGATGGTGGCCATTCAGGTACGCCAAAGAGAAGCCATGACATGCTTACTCTTCATGAAAATGTACAAGTTCTCAATAAGGAACAAAAATATGGCTGGTGAAATTGCTGAAATCTATCACAAGAGCAAATCTTTTCATGAAGTTATGAAGAAGCAAAAAGAAAGTTGTGCTAATTTTGCTGTTGCACCACATACTGCAAAAAATTGGGCAATAGTGCATGATAAATGCTTACCATGGAAAGGTAGTAAATTTGTGAATGGAAGACAGTTTCTGATTAACAGCAACCTGTGCCAGAAAGCCTGTGTGAAGAGCTTTGAGAAAGAATTCATTGTAAGAATTGACATTACGTCATTTACTGCAACTAAAGAATGGTTACCTAGATTGAGGAATAGGCTTGCACTGAGAGAGAAAATTAATGGAGAGGCTCTGTCTGCCACATTTCTGGCAGATTTGAAGAGCAACTCTTCAATTTTGATGAACCGAGGCTGTTTAGGAAGAAGATTTCCAGTAGAATCTACATTCATAAAAATGCAAAGGAGGCACCAGGGCATAAAACATGGGAGGACAGATTGCTCTGGTGAGTATCGTACCATTAAATATTTGGAGAGAGGGAGAAAGAAGAAAGCCTTATGTTTAGTTAACTTTTTAAAAAATACATTACCGTTGTTTTACTTTGTCGTTAATCTGTTTGAGTCTTAACTGTAAGCTACATTGTATCGTAACATGTGCACATAGAAGATATTCTATGTTAAGTTTAGTTTCAGGTATCCACTGGCCATGTTGTAAATGTATTCCCTGTGGATAAGGGTAGATTATAGTACAGGGAATTTATATTGTAAGCAAATGTACATGGTTTGTCTGAGGGATCCTGTTTTTACAGATTTAGCAGTAGTATGACCATGTTTGTGAACTGATTTCTGATCTTCTATACAAATGAAAATGTTAAAAAGTTTTTGTGCTTGAATAAACTTTGTAGTAATTTCACAGCCTCCCCACCTGCCTCCGAAACCTCTTTACCTGACTGCTACTTTCTTTCCGTCTCTAGTACCAACAACCTACTCATATCTTGTTGCCTTGCCTGTATAAAATTAAACCACCTATGTCTGCTAGAACCTAGGCAGAAATATTTGAACATGTTTGAGTTTGTAGTCATTTAACCCATAAACCTGAGCTTATTGTACGAGTGCTGGAGGAGATAGAGGGGAGGGTAAGGAGTCCTGGAATTGCTTCGTTGTCTTGGAGGATAGAAATGACATTGTAGTCAGATGATAAATTAAGTAATATTGTACAAGTTGAGTCATGGTAGACTATTGTATTATACTGAACATGAAGTGATGTCATCCAATTTCAATGAAATTTGGAATTGAGGTTATTAAACAAAATGAAGTAAAGGTATGAGGTAAATACTGATGTTGAAATTGAGCTGCTTAAAAATTCACGTTCTCATATAACTTGCTCTCAAAAGCCTCTTTCTAATTTGTATTTGCAGAAAAACTTTTTTTTTAAAAAAAAAAAGATTTATTTTTATTGGAAAGGTAGATTTACAGAGAGAAGGAAAGACAGAAAGATCTTCCAACCACTGGTTCACTCCACAAGTGACCACAATGGCTGAAGTTGAGCCGATTCCAAGTTGGGCTTAAAGGTTGGAGTTGAACTAATCTGAAGCCAAGAGATGGGAGATTCTTTCAAGTCTCCCATATGGGTGCAGGGTCCCAAACCTTTGGCCTGTTCTTTACTGCTTTCCCAGGCCACAAGGAAGGAGCTGAATGGGAGTCCAGTAGGCTGGACACGAACTTGTGCCCTATGGGAACCTGGTGCATGCAGTGCAAGGATTTAGCCACTGAGCCATTGCATCGCACCCCATATGTTAATTTTCTAGGGTGACAAAAAGCATGATATAATCTATATCCTTAGTTTCAGTTACATAGGCTAAATCCCTTACTAGGCCTGCCTCTAGCCCTTGTTTTCATGTGTGCTGGCAGGTGCTATGGTCCAGCCCTGAATGGTCCACTCCCAGCCTGGCTTTAGTACATACTGGCAGGTGCTGCAGGCTAGCAGAGGAAAATTTTTGATTTATGAAGGTGAGGTTTAATCTTAGTTTGTGTCAAATTGAATGGCTGTATATTGTTTTAGGAAGGTCAGTTTTAAATATTGGATGGGTAAAATAGAATTGCAACCTTCGGGTCTTTAGAGGGATACACCTTCTCTCTATGGAGCAGAATTCTGTGTGTATTAATAGACTGCCTATTCTTTCTAAAAAGAATATGTGCTTGTCCCAAGTCCTTTTGAAACACATTTTACCTGATGCCTTTCCTTGTAAGGTTTCTTTTCTGTCATTATTCTCATACTGTGTGCTTTTGTTTTTAAAGATGTTAATTTGAAATGCAGAGTGACAGAGAAGGAGAGGCAGAGATCCTCCATTCTTTGTTCCACCCCTTTGTCGTCAGCAGTGGCCTGGGCCGGGTCAGTCCAGAGGCAGGGTTTTCGTCACGGTCTCACATCTGGGTGTAATGGCCTGGTCTGGCCAGTCTCGAAGCAGGAACTCCCGTCATGGTCTCACACGTGGGTGGTAGGGTCTCAAGTACTTGTTCTGTGTGGTGCTGCCTTCTCTCAGACGCATTAACAGGGAGCTGGTTTGAATTATCTGGGACTTGATTCTGCATTCTATGTTGGCAACACAGGCAGTGGCTTAATTTGTTGTGTCATGACACTGGGCATCTATCATATTATCTGGCAATAGACAGCAAAGAGCTCGGTATGTGGGAGAAGAGATTTATTTTCTATTCGTCTATAAACCTTGTTGCCTTTGACTTATTTATAGTGTTATGAAGCTGGCTATTTGGAGAATGGGATTCCTGAGTCATGTGCTACGTCTCATTCGAAAGAGTTTGGCAGTGGTGAGTATTTTTGAGGTTAAGAAAGCAGAGTACTTTGTCTATAAACTGAAGCAACTGTTAATGTGTAAGCAAGGCTAGTTAAGGCTGAGAGTTCCTAACAGTTTGCCCAATATATGTTTCCTGCCACTATGGCTAAAATTAGAAAGTCCTGTTTCACTGTAGGCAGTTAATTGTATTTGAGGAAGGGGATGTTTGGGTCAACAGGGGGAAATAGCTCTTTAATGTTCATGCTAGGGTAACTCTCCAGGTCCCTTTATTCATTTATTGACCTTGATTTAATTTTTATTTCTATGAGATGCAAAATATGTAGTCAGAGGTGGGAGAAATTTTACAATAATCTTGGGGGGCGGAGAGCGAGAGCGTCTTTCACCAAAACAAACAAAAACTGTGTTTCATTTAACACATTTATGAACCTAGATCAGTTAGTACATGCTTAGGGAAAAGCTTGCATTGCGGGCTGCCCCACTGCTGTTGTCTGTAAAGGGTTTGGAGACTTGCCATATTTATGTAGAAGTTGTCTTGGTATTTTTAAGCATCTATCTCCTCTTTCTCCTTCTTTGGTAGGACCATGCAGCATTATAAGTTAGTGTAGTGTGTTACCTCTATTATCTGTGTGTTCCCGAAGAAACTTGATGAATGGCAAAGCAGAGCTGGGAAACTAAATCCACACCAAATTCCTTACCTCAGTACTTGTTACCACTCTGGAACCTCTCCGTGCCAGTTCTTTCTACCACTTTGAGCACTCATCTAACAGTGTCATTTTTTGTTTAGTGTTATTCTTGAAATAGCAGTGTACCACATGTGGTCTTTCATCTAAGAATATAAGAAGATAACCCATGTGCTTGTAAATTTTCTATTTAGTACATCTAGTATTATGTCAATTTATTTTAATCATATAGGCAATTATAATTTCAGCAGTCAATATGCTTGCTATTAAAATAACTATTCATAATAATAAGTGGAGGCTCTATGCCTCTACTTTTACATTTCAGCAGTTTTGTTTTGGTTTGTTTTTTTGCCCTGCCATCATGTGACCTCTTCTCTCAGACTGTCAGCAGCTTTGGTAATACATCTTTACCATTCACTTAGGCAGTTGGAAAAGTTAACACGGAGAGCTAAAGTGTGTGATGGAAAAGAGGGAAGACCTGGAGTTTCTTCATCTACATGTGCCAGTTGGGGTTGTACATTCATTCTGTATGGCTCATGTTCGAGGGTGTACACAAGTAACCGAAGTTAAACCTCTAAATGATTTGGGAGACCTTTCTTCCCAGCAGCATCTTACATATTTCAATCCTACTGGGTTGTTTTGTTTTGTTTTGTTTTGTTTTTAAACTAATAGATTATGAGAGTCCCAAGAGAGACTCCGTTGGCTCACTCGCCAAATGGCTACATGACTGGTCTGGGTCAGGCCAGAAAGAGGCACCTCCTCCAGTGGATGGCAGAGCCCCACACCGCTGGGCTCTTGCCATCACTTTTCCTAGGCCATTCCTAAGTGGGATGTCGGTGTTGTAGGTGGCAGCTTTGTGGGCTGCGCCACAGTGCCGGCCTCTAGAAATGTAACTCACTGTCTCTAAGCTCGGAGTCTATACGTTAGCATCTTTCCATGTATGGGATATTAAAATCTCTGGAGGAACTGGAAATTCTATCATTTCAATCATACAAGGTGAAATTACTTCACTAGCCTCTACGTTTGCTATTTAATCCATGTGAGGCACAAGTCTGTAGCCATTTCTCTAGCTAATTAGAGAAACCTGGGGAGTTTTGTAATTGTTTTATAACACTCGTATGCTACAATCCTATGTGGTCTTTCTGTTTAAAGACATTTCTTCAGGAATCTACCATCATGATTACCTAGTGGGTAACATCATTTTGTTTTGTTTTGTTTTTTCTGTCATAGGCACTACCAGGATTTTTGATAAACCAAGAAAGCGAAAGCGACAGAGGCATATTGGAGCTAAGGTGCAGTGTAAAAAAGTGAAAAATGCCGACTCATCAAAAGGGGTGCCAGGCTCAGAGGTATCACCAAGTTCCTCATTTTTCACCTTCCAAAGAGAAGCTCCTTTGCACAATAGAGGCCACAGCCCACATTCCCTTGAGCTTACTTAAGAATAGCTTTCTACTAAAATGACTAATAGGTAGAAATCTCGGAGAAAGGAAGGCCTTATGCTAGTGAGATAATTATTTGCAAAATTTACATATTGCAACTGTGGATATGGCCTTTTTTTTTTTTTTTAGAAGATTAGACCCTGTGTTTAAGATGTTGTTATAATAAGTAATTTTTTTAGAAAACCAGACAGCACAATGTCAAGTAAACCATGCGATTTGCATAGCCTTTGATGTTGCCCTTTACAAACCGAGACTGCTACAATTAAGAGGAAAGTTTTTTTGCTTTATTTTTTGATCCTCAGTTGCTTGATTTTAAGGTAATGTTTATGTACGTGAGCTTTTTCAAACAATCTCCATAGAGAGCGTCAGGGCATCCGATGACACTACCTCTGGCTTTCCAGCTAAGTGTAAAGAGAACAAGAACAAGGCTGGGCAGCACCACGTGTTAACCTGAGGAGAGTTTCTTTCTAGTACAGTAGAAAGAAAATGCCCAAGGAGGGCATTGTTTAGGAAACACTGATCTTGGACGGACAAATAAGTAATCAAATAAACTGAAGAATGTTTTCTCTCCCTTAGTGAAACCTTAAAATGGAACAGCCCAAAAAGTTCCAGTGGAACAGCCTCAGAGCAGTTAGTGGCAGGGCATGAGGCGCCCACTACCCGCCCAATCACAGCAGGGTTAGAACTAACATTGCATGCAGTCCGCCCGCGTGATTGGCTGAACATCTGTAAGTGCTTGATGGCTAGACAAATAGCAGCCCAGAGGGAGGGGGTCAAATGGAGTAGACATCAATAATACAGATGTGGGATGTTATTTTTTTCTCTGCAAGGGAGAACTGATGGCTCACAGGACGGCGGCAAGTCCTAAGGAGGCTGTTGAGGACGGTGTGGAACACGACTCTGGGATGCCTGCGTCGAAAAAGTTGCAGGGTGAACGAGGCGGAGGAGCTGCACTGAAGGAGAACGTGTGTCAGGTAGACAGTGCTTGCCCGCCTGTGTTCTCATTGCTTGCTTGTGCTCTTAAAGAAGCCCTTTCTGTGTCTCTTTATAACAGAGTTATCACAGTCCGAATAAATGTCTTTTGGATGATTTCAGTAGAATCCCTTCAATAAGACTGTAACATGTGCCATCCCCCAGCAGAGAATGGAAAAAAAGTCATTTAGTGTTGGTCATCTGCTTGCCTTACCCTTGAACCCTGGAGCGGAACTGAAATGGGAGACGTACATCTCTAGTTGGTCATTCAAACAAAAATCTATCGGTGTCTCACACTGTGAGGATATTTGGATTTCTAAGGAATTTGTCAGGAGATTTTGATAGGGGATGGTGTTGCAAGATTTATATGTTTTTATTGGAATGGCAGATTCCTAGTAAGAAGGACGGACAAAGATATTCCATCTGCTGGTTCACTTACCAAACATCTGCAGTGGCTTAACCTGGGCCGTTCTGATGCCAGGAGCCTCCTCTGGCTCTCTCGCAGGAGGACATTGTCCCAAGGACTTCAGATGACCTATGGCTGCATTTCCTAGGCAATAAGCTGGGAGCTGGATGGGGACTGGAGCTGCCAGGACACATACTGGTGCCTCTGTTGATGTCGGTGCTTGAAGTTCGAGGATCAGCCTATTGAACCACAGCACCTGCCCTGAGATTTTTTTTGTTTGCTTGTCTGTTTTAAAGTGGCAACTGTGAAAAACCAATCATTTAGATTTTCCCATTTGATAAGTACTTGCACAGTATTTACTATGTATTGGGTATTATTCAATCTTAGTAGATATCACAGGGTAGAGTACTATTTTCTTCATTTCATAGTTAGAACTGAATCACGTTTGTTAAGGTGGTTGCTTGCGGCCACACTGCCAGGCCTGGATTGACCCCTGACCCCCGGGCGCTCTGCACGGCCCTGTGTTCTTGGGTAGGGACTCTGGTCACGCTTCGCGCGGTGCCAGGCCGGTTCAAGAGGTTATCAGATTGTGGAAGGAGACAAGTAGATGCTCTTTGTATTCTCGTTATTTATGCTCTCTTCTATATCGACCTATGTAAGTTCTTAAAAAGCAATCATATAGATATTTGAGGCTATTACTTGTCTTTTAATTGAAACAACCAAAAAGGCTCAGAATTACTTGTGACGAATCGTGTTTTAATCCAGTTTTTTGCCCATTTTTTCTCACTGATCATACTGCACTATATGATAAGCACAGAGAATGCGCAAAGGCATTTATGTCCAATATTTGCAAATATTTTTAATAAACATTATTATTATTATCAAGCTTAAATTTTTGTTCCCTCTGCCCCCTGGCTTGTCTGTATTCCTGTGTTTATTAATGTTTCCATTTACTTGTGTCCCAGTTTTGAAGATACAGCACATGACCATCCCAGCTATAGTTAATTCATAGCATTTAGGTAATTTCAAATTTTTATTTAATTTTTCCTGTGTTTGAGATCTAAACTTGAGAAAACTGTGATTGATACACTGCATTTTCAGACACTACCATATGCAGAGTAAAGCTGTAGCATAACATTTGTCAGTGTTTGCATGCTAATACCGGACAGCGAGTGTGCCAAACACAGGTGGATTATGGCTGTGGAATTCCTCTTTGCTAACCTTTCTTCCCAAGACTTTCCTACTCCTCTAAACATTGAAGCCTTTGGTGACCAACAGGGACTATCTTTGAGTCCTTAAGACAGTGGAAATTGCTGACCCATTTTCCCCTTTCATGTTTCACGTGGTGTGTACAGCTGGCTCACATCTTTGGATCCAGCTGGACACAGATCAGCAATGAGCAGGGTGAGTGGGGCAGTGAGCTGGAGGGTTACCCTGTTGCTCACGAGGTAGCTAGGTGATCATGGTCACATCTGTACAAAACATGTGCCAACATTTTTTTTCCTTGTCATGATTCCAGAAGCAATACAGTAGAACAGCTGTTTATGCAGAGGTATGAGGAATCGTTAGAGGTCTAAGGTATATTTGAGTGTGCACACATTATATGCAAGGTACTTGAGCACATACAGAGCCTCACATGCAGGAGGGATTGCTGGCTGAGCGCAGAAGCCATTTAGTTATGTATTTTTAGGTTCTTTGTTTGCATCACTAGGAATACAAGTCAGGAGTTTAAGTGCTGACAGAAACATGCTGAGAATGTGAGCAATCTAGATCCTGATTTCCCAAACCTGTGTTTCCTAAGCATGGCCTCTTGGAGGCCTTGGCCAGAGCTCTGTAAACAGCAGGCCAGCACCAGTGAGTTCAAGTATGACCCTGCAGCCTGCTGACTTGGCTCTGTGTGGTTCGTTCCTTTTTGTGGTACACTCATTCTCTGTGCAGCAATGGAGGGTTCTTTTTAAAATAAACACATGATCCCAGCCATCCCTTGGTAAGACACCGATGGTGTATCTTTGCAATTACAACAAAATCTAAAAGTATCAGCATCTTCATCTTTTGGAAGGGAGGATGGGGCTGGGGGGCACATTTAATCTTGGTCTGCTTAGACACTGGAAAGTTTACAAACAAGGAGATGCGGAGAGAAACATCTTCCATCCACTGGTTCACTCCGCAAGTGGCCACTAAGGACAGAGATGAGTGGATCTGAAGCTAAGTGCCAGGAGCTTCTTCTGGGTTCCCACACGGCGGGGTGTGGAGACCGAAGGCTTTGGGCCACCTTCTGCTTCTCCAGGCCACAAGCAGGGGGCAGGATGGGAAGGAGTAGAATGGGCAGGACATGAACCCGCACCCATGGAGGTCCTAGCACATGCAAGGCGTGGGTTTAGCTACTGAGCTATCGCCCTCATGTGGCGAACTTTGAGTACTCGTTGCTTTTCGTTGCTTTTCTGAGTACTCTTCAGATTCTGTGTAGACATGGCATTTGGGGCCAAGTTTGAAATACCACTGCTAGTCCCCAATCACATAGCTGATTTGATTTCGTCCTCAATACATATGTATCTGGTATCTTTTTTTTTTTTAAGATTTATTTTGTTTTTGTTGGAAAGTCAGATATACAAAGAGGAGGAGAGATAGAGAGGAAGTTCTTCCGTCTGATGATTCACTCCCCAAGGACCACAATGGCTAGAGCTGCGCCAATCCAAAGTCAAGAGCCTGGAGTTTCTACCGCGTCTCCCACGCAGGTGCAGGGTCCCAAGGCTTTAGATCGTCCTCCACTGCTTTCCCAGGCCACAAGCAGGGAGCTGGATGGGAAGTGGGGCTGCTGTGATTAGAACTGGCGCCATTATGGGATCTAGGTGCTTTCAAGGCGAAGACTTTAGCTGCTAGGTTACCATGCCGGGCTCTCCTTGTTGTTTAATTGGTCACTGTGTCTCCTATACCTAGAATATAAGAACCCTGAAAGCTATAAATTCTGTGATGCCTGGAACACAGGAAGTAATTATTAACGATTAGTAAAAAGAATGGCAAGATTTCTTGTTTCCAACTCTTACGTCGCCTTTCCACTTGAAACTTTCAAAACCCTTTTCCTATAGACAGATCTATTTTCTTTGTCTTTCAGAATTGTGAGAAGGTGGGTGAGCTGCTGTTATGTGAGGCTCAGTGCTGCGGGGCTTTCCACCTCGAGTGCCTTGGCTTAACGGAGATGCCCAGGGGAAAATTTATCTGCAACGAGTGTCGCACAGGTAAAGTAGACACTGAACAACCTCCTGAAGATGATTTTGTTGCAAGTCTTTCAGAGGGAGGAGGCGTGTTAATTGCAGGCACTAGTTTGTTTTAACACTGGACTATTTATTTGTCTACAGTATTTTTGTGGTCCCTGCTGTCAGAAAGGTAGACCAAGTGAATAATAAATAACATTATTGGAAGTATGAGCTCAGGCCATTTAAGAAGAATTCTGAGTTTGGCTTGAAAGAGAAATAGAAATTGCCATCAGGAGGGAATAGGATACAAAATCTAGTAATGAAAGTAAGAAATTTTAGGATATGAGGAATATATACCACTCTAGAGCTTGAAGTACTTTAGTCAGTGGTAGCAGGACTGACGAGGAGGGCTTTTAAGTGACAAATGACATGTTTCTATATATGTATAAAAGATGTATGTCTTTTACTTAAAAAGAAGAGCCGTAGAGAACGAAGTCTTCCACTCTCCACTTAATTCTCCAAAAGCCCACAGTGGCCACAGCTGTGTTGGTATGAAGCTAGGAGCCACGAGTTTCTTCTGGGTTCCCTGTGTTGGTACAGGGACTTAAGCACTGCGGCCATCTATTGCTGCTCCTCAGGCCATTAGCAGGGAGCTGGATCAGAAGTACAACTGGGACTAGAAAGGTTTGTTTATTTTTGTCGGAAAGGCATATACAGAGAAAAGGAGATACAGAAACATTTAGGCTGTCACACCAGGGCTTGTATGTACTTTCTTAGGCCGGTAGGAGGATGCTGTTGGTGGCATCACATGGAACAACTACATTCCGTATCATAATGGTAGTTTGTTCCCTGGTGAGTCTTTGCTTCTGCTTCCAGCCCTCCACTAATGCTTCTGGGAAGTGGCAGATAACAGCTGACATGTTTCCCTCCCACTGCCCATTTAGGAGACCTGGATAGACTTCCTGAATCCTAGCTTTGGCCTGGCCCAGCCCAAGCCCAGGAAGCCATTTGGGTAATCAACACAGGGAAATATCTCTCTCTCTCTCTCTCTCTCTCTCTCTCTCTCTCTCTCTCTTTCTTTCTCTATCTGCCTTTTCAAATAAATGAATGTAGTGTTGTGGCACAGCTGGTTGTCCTGCTTGCCTCTGATGCTGGCATGTCATGGGCACCAGCTTACGTCCTGGCTGCTGCACTTCTGATGCACATCCTTGTTAATATGCCCAGGAAACAGCAAAACATGTTCCAAATCCTTTGGCCGCTGTAGCCCTGTGTGAGAGCTAGCTGCAGTTCTAGGCACCTAAATTTAGCCTGGCCCATTCTTGGTTGTTGAAGCCATTGGGGACGAAACCAGCAGATGAAAGATCTTCCTGTTTTTCTTTTTCCTATGCTTTCATGTATGTGTCTCCTTCTCTTTGTACTTTTGGCTTAAAAAGAATTATTTAAAGACACACAAGGGAGAGATGGAGAGATACTCCACCCTCTGGTTCACTCCCAAAAAGGCCCCAGTGGCTGTAGCTGGGCTGATGGGGAGCGAGGAGCCTCTTCCGGGGCTCCCTTGTGGGTGCAGGAACCCAAGGAGTTGAACCGTACGTGTGTGCTTCCCCAGGCGTGTTAACAGGGAGCTGGATGAGGAGTAGAAGAGCCAGAACAGCACTTAGATTAGATGTTGGCATTGCAGGCGGCTGCTTAACCTTGTTTCACAGCTCCCAGCCACAGTTGGTTTCTCACTGTTGAATTTCATTTAGGAATTTTTTAATATACTCAGGATATAAGCCCTTTATCACATTATTTCCAAAATATTGTCCAGAACCATAACCTTTTCAGTTTCCTTTAAAAGATTATTAAAATTATGTTAATTAGGCTTTACATTTTATTTTTATTGGAAAGTCAGATATACAGACAAAATGAGAGACAGGAAGATCTTCCGTCTGATGATTCACTCCCCAAGGACCACAATGGCTGGAGCTGCGCCAATCCAAAGCCAGAAGCCAGGAGTTTCTACGGGGTCTCCCACACGGGTGCAGAGTCCCAAAGCTTTGGGCCATCCTTGACTGCTTTCCCACGCCACAAGCAGGGAGCTGGATGGGAAGTGGAGCTGCTGGGATTAGAACCAACACCCATATGGGATCTAGGTGCTTTCAAGGCAAGGACTTTAGCCAGCAGGCCACAGTGCCAGGCCCAACAGCATTTTTCAAATGTGTAATGATAACAGCTTTTTGACATGTGCCATGTTACGTCATTGTGATCTGTGGTCCCCTTTCCTGTTGAGACCGTTGGAACTCATCTCTCCCAGCTTACTGTAGTTATGTACCTGCTGGCTAACCTGTTCATCTCTTCAATTCCAGTTTTCTCATAAACTGCAATTACTTTTTACAGACTCTACTTGTAAGTGAAGTCATTTTTTTTTTTAAAGATTTATTCAGTTTTTATTGGAAAGTCAGATATACAGAGAGGAAGAGAGACAGACAGAAAGATATCCCATCCACTGAATCATTCCCCAAGTGGCTCCAACAGCTGGGGCCGATCCAAAGCGAGGAGACTGGAGCCTCTTTCACGTCTCCCATGTGGGTGCAGCATCCCAAGGCTTTGGGCCGTCCTTTCCCGGGTCACAAGCCGGGAGCCAGATGGGAAGTGGAGGAACCAGGATTATAAGCAGCGCCCATATGGGATTCCGGCATGTGCAAAGTGACATTAGCCGTTAGGCTACAGTGCCAGGCCCATGGTCATGTTTTATTTTAATGTTTTTTTTTTTTAAGCATTTGTTTATTTTTATTGGAGAGGCTCACTTCTAGAAAGAAGGAGAGAAAGATTTTTCTTTTCATTCCCCAAATGGCCGCAACAGCCGGAGCTAAGCCAGTCCAAAGCCAGGAGCCTTCATCCTGGAGGCTGGAGCCTCTTACCCTTCTGTCATGTGGGTACAGAGTCCCAAGTGTTTGGGCTGTATGCTGGATATTTTCTCTTGTTTCATAGGTGATCTTGTCACTCAATTGATTCTTTCCTTTGCTGTGGAGAAGCTCATGCAACACAGCTTGCCTGTGCTTTGTGGGTCGTATTTAAAATGTCTTTGCCCAGTGCAGTGTCTTGTAACAGGTTTTTTGTTTTGTTTTGTTTTCATGTTATTTTTCTTTATTTTTGACATTCTTTACATAGTTAATTATGGCACAAAGGTTCAAGGGCAACAGAAAGTGAGTAAGACTATTATTGTCACATTGTTTTTGTCATGTATCGGGGGTATAGGGCGAGATAAAGGGAGAAGCCCCACCCAGTCTCCCACCCATCCCAGGTCCCTGATGTGGGGCATGCTCCGAGGGTCCTGCTCAAGTGGTTTTGATAGTTCACCAGTTACGAATTGCTGCCAGTCTCACCATTCCAAGCGCGATGAGGTCACTGAGGATTCCTGTGATCAACATAGTCCACCTTAGAGTCTCCGTTTGCCCTGTTTTCCACTGCCAACATATGGCTGAGGTAGTTGACAGACTTGTTCTGTCCTCTGTCTTTTCATGGTCAGGGTTCTGAGTCCAGCAGTTCAGTTGGGGGGATCCCCAAAGAAATTTTGTCTGAGGTGAACCCAGATCAGATTCCTGTGTGTACTTGCAAGTACAGGGCCCGGCACAGTCCATCGCCCCAATCAGCTGGTGGTTGCAGTTGCTGGGTTGGTTCTGTTTCCAGTCCTGTCTTCCACTGAAACCAATGTGTGTTGCAGTCCAGCCTGATTCTGCCTAGCACATACTCGGCCCTCACATAAACCAGTGGGAGCTGTAGCCTAGTTGGGGTGACCCACAATAACCCCCCACCAAGCCTGCCCCTATCCTGGTTTGCCAGTATGTGCAGCAGACTAGTGCAGTCTGTCCCACATCCCATTCAGCCTTCCTACATGTCAGTGGGCATTGAAGCCTAATATTTATTGAAAAGGTAGAATTACGGAGAGACAAGGATAAACAGAAGAAAAGATCTTCCGTTTGCCAGTTCACTGCCCACACGGCCACAGTAGCCAGAAGTGAGCTCATCTGAAGCTAGGAGCCATGGGCATCCTCCAGGCCTCCCACTTTGGTACTGGATCACGAGGCTTCAGGCCAACCTGCACTGCTTTCCCAGTGAGTGGGAAGGCATATTTCCCATATTTATGGAACACCCAGTATAGGAACCGATGCCCATATGAGATACCAGCACCTGGAGGGGGAGGATTAACCAGTCGAGCCATCACACCAGTCCCTATGTACCAGCTTTTTAAAAGGTTATTGTATGAGAAAATAGGTTTTTTCCATCTTCAAGAGATTATGCTTGGTTTCATGTTTTCTTGCTCTCTTTGTGAAGGTGAAGGGTCAGTTTTTGGGAGGTTTCTTCCTTTTTTTTTTTTTGGTCAGATTTCTTTACTTTTAGTGGATAGTCAGAAAAACAGAGGAGGAGAGAAAGAGAGGAAGATCTTTCATCTGGTGATTCACTCCCCAAGGTGACTGCTCTAGCCAAAACTGCACCAATCCGAAGCCAGGACGTCGGGTGGGAAATGGAGCTGCTGGGATTAGGACCGGCGTGCATATGGGATCCTGGCATGTTCAAGGCGAGAATTTTAGCCACTAGTCCACCGTGCCAGGCCCTCCTTTGGGATTTTTACTATCGAAGTTCATTTATAATAGCAGATTGTAGAAATAAGGGTGCCAGGCATTTCCATCCACTGGTTCATTCCCCTTATAGCCACAGGAATCGAGAGCTTCATCCTTGTGGATGGCATTGTCCAGATACTCCGGCCATTAAGGGAATCTGGATCAAAAGTGGATCAGGAGCTGCAGCTTGAGGAGTGAATCATTGGACGGAAGATCTTCCACTCCGTCTCTCCTTTCCGTATATCTAGCTTTACAATAAAAATAAATAAATCTTTTAAAAAATGAATCTGATGGAACGTGAACTGGTGCCTGTAAGCGGTGCCAAATCTGCCAATGTCACAAATTTTGTATACTTGTTCCACTACAGCATTGAGTTTTGGTTGTTCACATGTTAGCTGTGTGTGCTCAGTGTTTGTAGTTGAGCTTGGTAATGTGATACTGTTTTCAGAACGAGCCCCGCAGGGTTCGTGTTCAGGTATGTCCTAGGCTCTTTCGCTTGGGTTGTGTGAGGTGGAGCCTCCGCTGCTTTTTCCCCCCAACTAGTGTTTTACAGAAATGGTTAGATACACATGGATAGAAAGGCATAATGAATCCTCTCACGGTCACCTGTTGACTCATATAGCTATCACCTGCCTACTTAATTGTCGCTCTGAGAAGGAACCCCTCTTAAAAATTCTTCTGAAACCCCCAGATTTCTGTCTTTCAAATAAAATTTTTAAAGTTTTTCTTCCAGTAATGTAACAAGAGAATGCAGTAGTTCCTTTGTGTCATTTGTCCAGCTTTGTTTCAAGCTTTTCCCTTTGTCTCTGAGATTATCCAAGTCTTTCAATTCGGATCTAAGCACTATTCCTGCATTAGATCTCTTTTTACATCTTACATATCCTTACACAGTGCTGACTCTTCACTATTTCATGCCATTTGTGCATGTTTGATTAAATGATCATTTGTCCTGTTAATTTTGTACCTCTTCATTTAGATTGTGCTTTCCGGGTGTTCCTTTAATGATTCTATTCTCTTACAGTAAGAGGTGTTGGTTGCTTTAGGTGTAGGTTCAGATTTGGGTTTGTCAGGAGTGCTTCATCCGCAGCCGGTGCTGGTATTGCGTTGTGACGCTAGCAGGGTCTGTCGGATTGTCAGCCAACACTGATTAAGATGTTCATTGCTTTCAACTGTTAATCTCGTGTGCAAATTCCTAACTCTCGACATACAATGTTTAGCTTTGTGTAAATTCTTGATCAGATACTGACTTGTTACCTTTTCTGGTTTTCCAGGAATACATACCTGTTTTGTATGTAAGCAGAGCGGGGAAGATGTTAAAAGATGCCTGTTGCCTTTATGTGGGAAGTTCTACCATGAGGAGTGTGTGCAGAAGTACCCACCCACGGTCATGCAGAACAAGGGCTTCCGGTGCTCCCTGCACATGTGCATCACCTGCCATGCCGCCAACCCCACCAGTGTTTCTGCATCGAAAGGTCTCAGCCTTCCGCGTGCCACATTGTCGCTGTGCTGACTCTTGCTGTGTTCTGCAGCATTGGGCGCTTTTGTGTGGGGGAGGGGAGGTCTTAGTCGTAGAGTAATTCAGCTGTCCCCACTTTGCCTTCTGGGGAGTCTCATTTTAGATTTAGCATGAAGCAGTTGTCCACTACGTGTCCTCTTCTCCCTATCCTTTTAAACCACCACGTGTTTTCTTCCCTGTGGATTCTTGTGTCTATGCTTGTCAAATGTGATACTATTCAGAAAAGTTTGCCACATTCCAGCTATTGTGTTGATTTATGTTTCAAAATAGAAGCTCTTCTGTTAGGGATGTTTTTCGGCTTCAAAGTTATCTTGAGAACTGAGATTTCAAAGTTTTTCTGTCAGGTTAAACAAGCCCACGTTCGAAACCCAGCGTCCAGACAATTCTTTCTGTTCAGTAATAGTTTGCTGTTGAATGCTCATTTGACAGCACAATTCTAACCTTTCTCCAAGAGGGCCGGACACTTTAAAGTCTAGCAATGCTGACACCTTTGATGCAGCCGTACCTTTTGTGACGCGCTTGCCCTTTCCCTATAGCTCTTGTTGGTACTTCAGAGCCTGTTTTAAGTAGTTTAATAACAGCTTTGATGAATTAGGTTAGGAGAGTGGGAACCACACTCTGGAGTTGGTGAGAAGTAATTAACCTGAAAGTCTTCTTAAGAATTATGGTGCCAGAGAAGTAGTTCTGGCACCTGACCCCTTCCCAGGTTACTTGGAGTTTGGCCAACAGCTATGGTAGGGTAGCCATTATTGTAGAGCTTTCTGTGGCTAGCAAGCTCCTTATAAAGATGGGATCAACTTCTTGTGGAGATTTTTTTATGTAGTTCCCATATGAGCTTTTCTAATTGTTTGGGTATTTTAAAATTCATTGTCCTAGTGTTCCTAACTTGCATTTTTGACATTTCTCATTGTTAGTAAATAGAGTTGTGTAACACACATTGTTCTTACATTGAATTTCTTTGTTTTCCTTGTACTTCTCCCTGGCTCTGTTGCTTCTCCTATATTTAGGTCGGCTGATGCGTTGTGTGCGCTGTCCAGTGGCTTACCATGCCAATGACTTCTGCCTCGCTGCCGGATCCAAGATCCTCGCGTCTAACAGCATCATCTGCCCGAATCACTTCACCCCCAGGCGTGGCTGTCGGAATCACGAGCATGTTAATGTTAGCTGGTGTTTTGTGTGCTCAGAAGGTAAGACGTCATTTCTTGTGCTTTAAGTAGTCTAATAAAGCCTTCATATTATGTCTTCTCATTAGTAATGGTTTTGTAATTGGAACAAGAATAATTTTCTTCACACCATGTCATCGGAAGTCATATTTTAAAATGATGTCCTGGATAGCAGAATTTGATTGCCTAATAGGGAGAGGATTTAATTTGCAGTTTGAATAACTTGGTTTTGCTAAAATGATAAATTATGGAAACAGTAATATGCACAGAAAAAAAATTCACCTAAATCCAAACACCAGAAGAGTAAGCATCACAGGCCCAACACAGTAGCCTGGCAGCTAAAGTCCTTGCATTGTGTGCACCAGGATTCCATACAGGCGCTGGTTAGGGTCCCGGCAGCTCCACTGATCCAGGTCCCTGCTTGTGGCCTGGGAGGGCAGTCAAGGATAGCCTAAAGCCTTGGGACCCTAAACCCATGTTGGAGGCCTGGAAGAGGGTACAGGCTCCTGGCTGCGGCTCTGCTGGTAACCTCCCCAAATGATCACAACAGTTAGAGCTGAGCCAACCTGAAGCTGTGAGCTAGGAGCTTCCTGTGTCTCCCAAGTGAAATGCAGGTACTTGAAGACATGAGCCATCCTCTGCTGCTGTCCCAAGCTTTGGGCAGGGAGGGTGAGAAGTGGAGCAGCAGGACATGAGCCAGCGCCCACAAGGGATGCCAGTGGTAAAGGGTGGAGGTTGGCTTGCTGTGCCACTCCGTTGTCCCCATCATCATATAATCTTTTTAGAATTATATTCATTCTTTTATTTGAACGTGTGAAAAGAGAAAGCACAGATCCTCCACCCTCTGCATTATTCCCCACATGGCTACCTCAGACTGAACTATGTCTCCCTCCCACCAAGGGTGATAGGTCTTGGTCCTTTTCCACTGCTTTTTTAGGCACATTAACAGGAAGCTGGATTGGAAGCCAAGCAGCTGTTACTCCCACAGCATGCCACTGTGGTGTTGTGATAGTTTAGTCAACTGCAACACGATACAGGCCGTTAGGGTGCTTTGAATTCCACTTGAGATGAGTTGTATGCACTTTTTTCAACACAGAGGCACAGGTAATGGCCTGTGATATAAAGCTCTGTATGGAGCAAGTCGACCAATAACTAGTTCTCTTAACCACATTTTCCTGAAATTTCTTATTAGCTGTAGGAACAGCTTTAACATGGCGGGCTCAGGTGCTCTGGTGGGTCTTGGGGGAGGGAGTATGTGTGAAATCAAACTCTACATGTTAATACGAAGTCATTCCTTGCCTTTTTCACTTCGTTCACATTTGCACGGAAAGTACAAAACCAGTGGTTTCATTAGAACAAATCAAGGCAATGACTAAACCTTGCGAGTAAAAGCACATTGTATTGTGTGACCACGTACTCATAGTAAACTGATAGCATTTTCACATTGTCCTTGGTGAAGGTGCAAAAGTGGATTTTTTTTTTTTTTTTTTTGACATCGCAGTGCTTCAGTGAACGATTTGTAATTTGCAGAGTATTCACGGTGCAGCTCGGTCGCACATTGATGGATTTTGAGTGAAAACACCCTTACGGTTACAGCTGCCATTAATTTTCACTGTCTGTGTGCTTCACTTAAAAAGACATTGTTTACTTCATTGGCAAAATGCTGTTCCGTCTACTGGTTTACTCCTCAGGTGCTTGCAGCTTAGAGCCTGGCTGTGGACGCAGCTCCTAAACACTCTGATGACCGACATCCATTTTTGGTTGCCAGTTACTGACATGCTACAATTATTCGTACTTGCTTTTTTTTTTTCAAATCTTTATTTAGAAATGGACAAATGCACACCTGTCAATTTCTGGAAAACCACTGCGTTTTGGGTTCCCACACGTGGCCCTGATCTTTGCCTATGTGACATGAGCATTGAGAGAATGGCCCAGCTCCCCCTCTCTATCTGCCTCTTAACTTCTTTTTCAAAAGTAATTAAAAAATAGAAAGCTTGTGCAAATTGAGTTAAAAGATATGCTTACTTTGTTTTGAAATTTTAAACTCTAAGCATATGTGGGCCCGGTGCAGTGGTGCAGTGGTTAAGGTCCTCGCCTTGCACACCTGGGATCCCATATGGGCGCCGGTTCTAATCTCGCTTCCCATCCAGCTCCCTGCCTGTGGACCGGGAAGGCAGTCGAGGACGGCCCAAGGCTTTGGGACCCTGCACCCGTGTGGGAGACCTGGAAGAGGCTCCTGGTTTCGGATTGGCATAGCATTGGCCGTTGCGCTCACTTGGGGAGTGAATCATCGGACGGAAGATCTTCCTCTCTGTCTCTCCTCTCTGTATATCCGCCTTTCAAATAAAAAATTAAAAAAAAATAAATCTTTAATAAACTCTAAGCATATCTGGATTCAGAAGGTTCATGGAGAGGCCGACGATGTGGTTACAGTTGAAGATGAGAGCACTGATTGTTGCTGCACTTTTCTGATCCTGCTTCTTTGCTAATGTGGCTGGGAAGGCAGAGATGGCCACCCACGTGGGAGACCTGAGTAGAGTGTTAGGCTTCTGGCTTTCTACCTTGCCCAACCTCCACAACTGGGGCCATTTGAGGAATGAATTAGCAAATGGAAGATTTCTCCATCTCTCCTTCTGTCTGTCAGGATCCCCATTTTGTAAACAAAATGGGCTTAATTATTTCCCCTCGTCTTGTTTTTAGTTCTGCTTGTCTGGATATGCACATAGCATGACTGTTGTGAATTTAGTACTGATTTCATTGCCTTAATTTATTATTAGGATGCCACATTTGCTAGCCATGAATCTAACAACCCTTGGTTAGGAAGGTAGAGTTCAGGCGATGAATGGACATAGAAATGTCTTCCTTGATATCTAATTAAGTGACTAATCCTTTGAGGAGACAAACAGTTGGTTAGGGGCTGAGCCAAGGTTGTTTCAGCTGAGCCAGGTGTTGTTGATTCCCGTAGGAGGCAGCCTGCTGTGCTGTGACTCTTGCCCTGCTGCTTTTCACCGAGAATGCCTGAACATTGATATCCCTGAAGGAAACTGGTATTGCAATGACTGCAAGGCGGGAAAGAAGCCGCACTACAGGGAGATCGTCTGGGTGAAAGTCGGACGGTACAGGTGAGTACGGCGAGGATGCGCCCCATTTCCTTTGTAAGATTGCATTTCTTGGGTTCATCAAACACACTGGTTATTTTTGGTAATTCTTTCCTCTGTATGTATGGTACACCATCACCTTGAATTAATTTTTCCTCATAACACACAGCCCAAACTTTACAATTTATATCACAGAACTAATACTAGTACTCAAGTTTCTGCTTTGTAGAATATTTGTTAACGAAAACTCATAATCTTTCACAAACAGAGAAGGTATAGTGTTAGTATTTTGAGATTCTTTCTGGCAGACATGCCAGTGTCCAGCTTCCCCATCCTCAGTAATTGCCCTTTATAGTGGATGCAGAATTCTGCCTTTTTAAAGTTGCTTTCCCAAAATATGGAATGCAAAAATAATTTGACATGTATGCTTTGGGAAGCAGCAAGTAATTATTTTGTATACCCCGGTTAGGAAGCTAGAGCTCTGTTGCAGTCATCTGAGGGTCACTTTGTAGCCACGCCTGGTTCTGTTCCCTGCTGCTCAAAGGTAGCTGTTATCCTGAATTGTGGCTAGCCTTTATTTCGTGCTGTGTTTTACATACTTCAGGATTATTGTTGATACAGTTCCCTGCAACTTGCTTTATTAACCTTTATGACCTGGCCTTCCTTGCTTGTCTAAGGCTCTAGTTTACTGTTAACAATTCCCATTTAATCAGGCACTCTTGGGCTTATGGCAAGAGCCTGTTTATAGCTTTCTGTGGAGTAAAGTAGGTGGGTTTTCCAGCTCAAATATCTGTTGCTGTTTGGAATAGTTTAGTGAGAAATCTTTGTCACCGAGTCCTAGGAAGTGTGTGGTGGCTCATGTGACTGTTCGCAGCATCTTCATGCTTTCGTGTATGCTACTGGTTAGCTGTAACACTGTTGAAGGTTAGATTTTTGTGTGGACCAAAAGACACGACAATTCCTTACTGTGGGTTATTCTCTTAGTGCCCTTGTTTCTGCCTTTCCAGGTGGTGGCCAGCAGAGATCTGCCATCCGCGAGCTGTTCCCTCCAACATTGATAAGATGAGACATGATGTGGGAGAGTTCCCTGTGCTCTTCTTTGGGTCAAATGACTATCTGTGGACCCACCAGGCCCGAGTGTTCCCCTACATGGAAGGGGACGTGAGCAGCAAGGACAAGATGGGCAAAGGAGTGGATGGGACGTATAAAAAAGGTGACTTTATCCTGTTTGTGCCTCAAACCAGTTCCTTGTAATTGCCTGAGTTATCTGCTTTATGTTAAAAGTCACACACGATGGGGCCAGTGTTGTGGCAGGGCAAGTAAAGGTACTGTCTGCAAGGCCAACATCCCATGTAAGCATTGGTTTGTGTCCCAGCTGCTCCACTTCAGAACCAACTTCCTGCTAATGCCAGGGAAAGCAGTGGAGGAGTACTTGAGTGTCTCAGTTCCTGCTGCCCACGGGAAGATCCAGGGCAAGCTCTTGGCTGGCTTCAGCCTGCACAGCACTACTTATTGCAAACATCTGGGTGGTCAACTAGCGGTTGAAAGATCTATATCTCTCTTGCTCTGTTTGCCTCTCTTTCTATAATTCTGACTTTAAAATATATAAATCGTGAGCAAGAAAACATCACACCTGCTCCATTAAGCAGCACTCCGTCCCTATCTCGAGACCATCATGTGTCTGAGGCTGCAGGGTTGTACAGGAAAGTTGATCCACATCACTTACTACTGCTTAGTTCATTTTTTAAAGCTTTATTTATTTTTATTAGGATATCAGATATACAGAGAGGCGGAGAGATAGAGAGGAAGATCTTTTGTCTGATGATTGACTCCCCAGGTGGCCACAATGGCCAGAGCTGAGCCGATCCGAAGCCAGGAGCCTCTTCTGGGTTATACCCACAGTCCCACTCTTCCTCCTCCTTAGGTAGGAAGGTACATATACTGTCATGTCAGGAAGACAGCCTCCGTAAAGTTAGCTCCGGGTGTTTGGGACAGCACAGTGAGGAGGGAGAGTTAGGCTGTTTTCCTCGACAGCTAGATACATTATAAGGAGTCAAGCAGAGTTGGAGAAACTGCAGACCGTGGTGGAGTGTTGGCACCCTGAGGAGGCACAACAGGCAGTACCTGAAAAAGATGAGTTAAGTTAGCAGTGTTAGAAAAGATGAAAACCGTGACAGTTATTCCTAAGACTAGAGAGAGAGACAGGGACAGGACAGACGTTCGAGTGGCACTGGGCAGGCATCCCAAGTAACTGGCAATGGGATGGGACAGAGGTGTATTTTAGGGCAGTCTTGAGGACTCCACGTAACACGCCTACAGTGTGCTAGATGGTCGCACGGATAGAGCATGGGGAAGGCATGGAAGGGAAGCAGAGCCCAGGGGTAAGGCTCATCTCTCCAGAGGCTGTGTCTGTGGGCTCTCCCAGCCACCAGCTGCTGTGCTTTCCTTTGACAGTGGTACCCTGCGTTGTTTCATGTAGCTGGGGATTGTTACACTGCTATGTCTGAATCCCCTAGGAATTACACAAAGATACTTGAAACAGTTCCTGAGAAATGGAACTAAAAGGTCAGTTTATGCTGGTGCAAAAAGTTCTTGAAATTCATGTCTAATTGTCTTCATAATATATACTTCTCTGAACTTTTTTGAGGCCCTCCCAAAATGCATGGATTTCAAAATTGGCACCAAAACCTTATATTTGAATTTCACATTTCCATACATATTATAAAGTACCCTCACATAACCTGTTTGGAAATACATATTCTCCGTTTTTCCTACAGTCATTTTGATACTCCTGCAAAGCAGATGTGTCCAGTATGTGAGGTGCTGAAGTGATCTGTGCTTTGTCTATTCGTAGCTCTTCAGGAAGCTGCAGCAAGGTTTGAAGAGCTAAAGGCACAGAAAGAGCTACGGCAGCTGCAGGAAGACCGAAAGAATGATAAGAAGCCTCCACCTTATAAGCATATAAAGGTGAGAAACAACCCCCAGGCCCCCTTGCCCGAGCGACACTGTGTGTTCCTTGCCTCTGCTGTGTTCATGTCGAGATTGGGAAGCGCATTGCAGTTCCTTCTGCACACCAGGTCAGGCATGCCGCATAGACTTGAAAAAATCAGCTGGATGTTCTTATGGGTTCTTAAAAAATGTTATCTTTTTATGCATAGCTTGATGATTTGCTTACTTATCTATCTCTTTCAAATAAGAGACAAAGGTATAGGGAGGTCTTTCATGTGTTCATTCCCCAGGTAGCCACCATATCCAGAGATGAGCCATGTTAAAGCTAAAAACTTCATCTGAGTCTCCCACCTGGGTGCCAGGTCCCCAAATGCTTGGGCCATTTTGCACTGCTTTTTAGGCCATTAGCAGCGGGTCTGGTGCGGTATCCTAGCGGCCAAAGTCTTCGCCTTTGCACGTGCCAGGATCCCATATGGGTGCTAGTTCTAATCCCGACAGCCCAGCTTCCCATCTAGATCCCTGCTTGTGGCCTGGGAAAGCAGTCAAGGATGACCCAAAGCCTTAGGACCCTGCACCCGCGTGGGAGATACAGATGAAGCCTCTGGCTCCTGGCTTCAGATTGGCTCAGTTCCAGCTGTTTTGGCCACTTGGGGAGTGAATCATCGGACGGAAAATCATCCTCTCTGTCTTTTCTCCTCTTTGTACTTCTGACTTTCCAATGAAAACTACTAAATCTTTTTTAAAAAAAAAAATGAAAGGTGAAGCAGCTGGGACATGAATCTGCCTATATATGGGATGCTCGCTATTCCACAATGCCAGCCCCAATGTGGGCACTTATGCTGCTGTCTTGGATAGTCATCTAAGATTACAGTGTATTCTTAGCACCTTTGGATTAAAAGGGACCAAAGCCCTGCTGAAAATTATGACATTGTGTGTATCACGTGTATGGGAATTCTTTTGGTGATAATTAATACTAAAGATAATTTAGGTGGCCAGTGAATATAGGAATCACGAGGTCAGAGAAATTCAGGTCTGTATACCTGGCAAAATACTGTTTGCAATTTTTTTTTTCTTTTTTTACTGTTTGCATTTGAAGTCACTCATATTAACAATTTTCTGAAGTAAAATAGTAAGAAAAAGAAGTAAGACTTGTTGGGGGGCACTGTGGCACAGCAAACCCAGCCTCTGCCTGCCGCACTGGTGCTCGTTCATGGCTGCTCCACTTCTGATCCAGCTGCCTGCCAACGACCCGGGAAGGTGTGCCTGGGAAGAGCTCCTGGCTCCTCCTCTCTGATAGTCCAGCTCTAGCTGTTGTGGTCATTAAGTCTTCAGAAAAAAAGTCAAGTTTGTTAGAAATGTTAGTATTTACTTAAGTTACCTCTTTCAGCAGCTAAGTTAGCTTCAGTGTGGCTCTCTGAAGTGTGCTGTGCTGAGATTTCACTTGTAAGCCTGTTCCACTGCAGTCTTGAGAGGCTACTGTGTGTGTGTGTGTGTTCCAAATGTAGTGTGGTACTTACCTTTTAGGAAACCGTTAGTTATCTGAAATTCAAATTTAACTTGGTATCATAGCTTTCCATTTTCTAAATCTGGCAACACTGCTACAAAGACGGCCTCTTGAATCTTTAAAGTGTGACCTTTTTATTTTACCATTTCCTATGGTTCCCTTTATGCAGACTACTCCGTATTCTTTGCGTCTCCGTCTTTGAGGCACAGTTGGGAATTCCTGATGGATAATGATGAAGTAGTAAGCTTACATTCTGAAGATAAGAACACTAAAGTCTGTGCTTACATTGGTAAAAGGGACAAATAGATCTGAACACTGATTACAAAGTAGAATAAGTTTTGTTTGTTTTTGTGTTTTTGTTTGTTTGTTTTCTTTATTTGGAAGGAAGAGAGAGGAAGACACTGAGATTTCGCATTCACTGGTTTTCTCCTGGTGGCTGTAATGGCCACTTAGGCCAGGCCAGAGACTCGGGCCGTGTTCTGCTGCCTTCCTAGGCAGGTTGGCTGGGAGCTGGATTGTGAATGGAGCAGCTGGGATCTGAACTGGGGACCATGTCAGATGCTGGTGTTGCTGACAGCAGTTTAACCTGCTGTGCCCCAGCTCCAAAGTGTGTTCTTTTTAAATGACTAAATATTCTTAGTGATTTTTAGAAGATCTCTAAAAAGAAATAAAATTCATGAAATATAAGCCCTTACAAATAATTAAAATTCAGGAAATTCAAAGATATAATTAAGTCCAATTGTACCTGGTCATGCCCTGTGAATTAAGTGGCAATATCATATGTGAAGACATACCACCAAGGTTAGATCTTAACGTAATGTGGAGTCCCGTGACATGTGGAGTCCCGTGACGGACTTACATTCCTTGTCCCAGGGCCTGGGCGGGGGTCATTGCAGCCCCTTGGAGGCAGTGCCCCTGGATGCTCAGATTGCTCAGTGTCCGGGAGGCCTGCGTTGCTCTATTAGTGCCTGGTTTCATCTTGCCATTGTAGACATCTGTGGAGCAAGCTAGCAGTTGAATTTCTTTCTCTCTCTCTCCCTCTATCTTTATATCTCGGGTTAATATAAATAAGTTGTGTTTTCTGGACTTCTTTTTTTTTAAATTTATTACGTTGCATTATATGATACAGCTTTTTAGGTATTGGAATTCCCCTCTCTCCTCCCCCCCAATCCTCCCCCCATGGTGGATTCCTCCACCTTGTTGCGTATCCACAGTTCAAGTTCAGTTGAGATTCTTTTATTTGGGAACAGAAAAGGAAAGCAAACCCATTGACGCCATCCTATGCTTCAGACATTAGAAAGGCTTGCCTGTGGAGGTTCAGCTGAACCATCGTTTTAAAGGATTTATTTGAAAGGCAAAGTGACAGCAAAATAAAGACAGGGACCTTGTGCCCGCTGCTTCATTCATTTCCCAGAGAAGCAAAGGCAGGTCTGGGCTGGGTAGGACCAGGAACCTGGATCCATGCTGGTCTCCAACGTGGGTGGTAATGGCCCAAATACCCAGTGCTTGTCAGATGACTGACCCGGAGCATAGCAGAAAGTGGGTCAGTAAGCAGAGCAGCTCACCTGGTTACCTGTGCTAGCAGTGGTTACCTGTGCTAACAGTGGTTACCTGTGCGAGCAGTGGTGGCATAACCGGATGTAACACAACGGTGACTGCAAACATTTTGAACCTTGCTAATGAGAGAAACTCCAGACTGATTTCATCACATAATTTTAGGGCTTTTTTCCCTCTATTTTTCTTTTTGAATATTTGCAAGAGAAGAATCATGAAACAAATTTATTCTATTGCCTGTTACATAATGCTCATTATTTTGATATTCTTGGTAGTTAAGTAAAATAGTGGCTCATGACATGAAGAACATATGAAACTCAACTTTTGATGCTGGTACTTTTTTTAGTGACAGCTGGGCTGGTTCGGTTTGGTAGTTTCTGTGGGTAGTTTTGTACTGCAGGGCTCAGTTGAGCCGCATTCATCACAGACCTGTGGCCTGCTTTTAAACCCCAAATTTACACTCTGGCCCTTGACAATAAGTTTGTCAACTAGTGTGAAATGACGTTTGATCCTAGTGTGATCGTATCCTCATTCTGAATCGTGTGGGTTTTTTTTTTTTTTCTTCAATTTATAAAGGTTTATTACTTTTATTTAATTGAAAGGCAGTTACAGAAAGCAAAGAGATACAAAGAAAGTGATTTTTTTTTTCATCCAACACTTCTCACCAAATGGCCGTGATGGTCCAACACATCAGGAGCCTGACGCTCAGTCCAGGTCTGCCTGCGGCTGGCAGGGTCCAGCGTCCCCGCGCATTTCTTGTTGGCTATCGCCATGTACGTGGTCACATGGGAGCAGTGGGACGCTCGCTCGTGCTCTTCGGCTCAGCCACAGTGCCTGCCGCCTAATTTTTTGCTCTGTGATGTGCAAGGCAAAAATACTTGTGATTAATGACAGATTAGATCATATCTTCAGAATGAATGACTGAAACATTCGGAGAGGAGTTAGGATGGCCCTGAGGCCGTGGGTGACGAGGTCAGGCTATTGTCCATCCCCTCGGCACACCTGTGCTACAGTTGGCTGTGCTGCTGCTTTTCCTCCATGAGTGAGCCTTTCCCAGTGTTTCCCATGATTTTTGGAGTTTAGGCTAAAAAATGATGTGGGACTTAGGATTTCAGTGTAATGCATCTTAAAGCAAACTGTAGATTTTGTAGAATAGAAGAACCATAGTGTTCTACAAATGAAAGTATTTCACTATTTAGAAGATGCATTGTACTCATAATTTTACGTTGAATGGAATTAGCATCTAAAATATTGGATATGACAGTTATTCTAATAAGGAATGTTGAATGAAAAATAATTTATAGTACTATTTGTCTAGCTTAAGATGCTATTATTATGCTCTATTCTAGATCTTTATATTTCCTCGCAACAATTTTTGCAAGTAAATAAATTTATCAGAATAACACAATTCCTAGTTAAATTTATGCATGGAATGTCTCTGAAGGCCCACTTTGACTGTCCCCACTGAAGTAATAGCAAATAGAGGAAACTAATAGTGCAACAAATCCACAGTTTTAGATGTAATCTTTCCTCTGCGTTGTTGCTATTGTCTGTAAAACTTCTACATCATTCCAGTTAATTATCCTTCATGTTTTATTGCATCAGACTTTCACATGAGCACATTGCTGTAGTTTTTATGTAAAGTGTAAATATTAAATATTAAATACTTCTTCACAGATAGAAAACCAGATTACCCATCTTCATCCCAATAGTTTCTCATTTATCAATTTTGACTTTTGTTAAAAAAAAACAACTGCCTTCATGCCACTATATGGTCAGTAGCAGAATGTTAGTTTGCAATTAATTTAGCCTGCTGACTTTGAGGTTTTTTTTTTTAAGATGAATTTTTGAAGATGTTGGATTTGTATTATATTTTACATGTGGTGCTCTATTATTATGCTAAGGTGCCTTTTTATTTCAAGTTTGTATTTACTGAGGGTTCTTCCGTGTGTTGGCTCACCCCCAGATGACCGCAATGATCAGGACTAAGCTTGGGGTGAAGGGGCATCTGGGTTTCCCTTGAGGGTACAAGCCCCTGGCACTTGGACCCCTCTGCTGCCTTCCCAAGTGCGTAATGAGGGAGCTGGGTAGGAATTGGAGCTACCGGACATGAACCTGTGCTGCAACACTGGCTCCACAGTGCCTAAATCTTGATAATTCAAAATCATACAAAGCGTACCAGGCAACTTAAAAAAAAACCTAGATGTCCTTTGCGGGGCCTGAGTTGTTTCTTGTGTTGAGCGTTCTGCCGTCATATGCTATGTCTGTTTCCCAGGTGAACCGCCCAATAGGCAGGGTGCAGATCTTCACCGCGGACTTGTCTGAAATCCCCCGTTGCAACTGTAAAGCCACCGATGAGAACCCTTGTGGCATCGACTCGGAATGCATCAACCGCATGCTGCTGTATGAGTGTCACCCCACGGTGTGCCCTGCTGGAGGGCGCTGTCAGAACCAGTGCTTCACCAAGCGCCAGTACCCCGAGGTGGAGATTTTCCGCACCTTGCAGAGGGGTTGGGGCCTGCGGACAAAAACAGATATTAAGAAGGTGAGGAAAACTTTGGATTACCATTTTTGTTGATTTTTATTTGTTTGTTTGTTTGTTTTTGCATTTGCTTGATATGATGTGATACTTGTTAGAAAATTTACCACATAGATCACTGTTGCATAGCATCCTGTTTTTGTGTGTCACACGTCCTTTTGGAACCTAGTGGCTTGAGTGCGGCTTCCCTGTGCCTCTGGCCTCGTCAGCTTCAGGTGTGCTCAAGTGAGGGGAATGCACAGAGCTGGTGCGACCTGTAGTTGGGAAGATACACAGGGTTTAAATTACCTATTAAATAGCAGAATCTGTTTTCACTGGGGGAAATACAGATTTGGGTTAATGCGACATGAAGTAAAGAAGGTTAAGCCTGTTCTAATGAAAATGCAGCAATGTATTCAACTTGCCGCTAGGCAGAATCTGTATATTTCTAATAAACAGGAAATATGCTGCCTACGTAAAATAAATCTTATTTGACAGTGCTGTTAGACTGTCTGATTATTATTTCTGAAGAATTTATTGGAAGCTTCTGCTTAAGGAATTAGTGGGTATGGGCATGATGTTCAGTGATCTACCAGGCAGATGTTCCGGATCTACTAGCAGCCATGGGTCAGTCATCGGTGAGTGGAAGCACATTGGCCTTATGACATGTGCTGAAGGAACTGAAGCTAGCTTGTCTCTGAGGCTTCTGTAAGTTGAGACTTGACAGATGAGTCATTGACTAAAGTAAAGTGAGTGTTAAAGCTTTGCAGGTCAGTGGGGTAGCAGGCGTGACCCTAGGAGGGAGGACCGTGTTGTGAAATGTGCAGGAACAGCTGTTGAAGCAAGTTCCATGGAGGATAACAGTGTTTTAGGGAGGTTGATTTTGAGGTCCCTGGGCAGGTTCAGGAATTGACCAGCCATATCTGTCCATGTTTCCATTGCAAGGAAGTAAAAAGTGAGTAATTTTGTGTACTCTATATGTGAACGTTGATGTACTTTTTGCCACTAATTCAGGAGGTGCTTTTTGTTGCAGGGAGAGTTTGTGAATGAGTATGTCGGTGAGCTGATAGACGAAGAAGAATGCAGAGCTCGAATCCGTTACGCCCAGGAACATGATATCACCAACTTCTATATGCTGACCCTAGATAAAGTAAGTGTTCACCTATTGTAGAATGATCAGGTAGAACATTTCCCCTGCCTCAAGCAAGGTTTCTCTCGTATCTGCAGAGATTGCTTGATCGAGTTCTGGCTGTGCAGCCGTAGCTGGACATTGTAAAGCTGAGTGGAGCATTCTTTTTGAATGATCCGATATAACTTGGGGATTTTATCCTTTTGCGTATTCCTATAAGATCAAAACTTGAATCTAAAAAAGCAAATGCTCAGCCTTGTACCCTGCACAGGTGGAGGAACTGCTTTACCAATATCCTTCCAATGCCGTGGAAGGAGCTCAAGTAATCCCCTAATGTCCCAGTTGTATTTGGAACATAATTCTAGTTTCAGTGTTCTCACATTGATATTTTCCATGGGTCTGTGACCTGGCTTTCAAACCTCGTGGCCTCGAAGGTTTGTGAAACCTCACATTTAGACACGCTGATCTTAGTTTGGGATGGAGATTTGAAATCAATATTTAAGTCTTCTCAGGCCATTTCTTGGTGTACAGAGTTTGAAAACTAAAAGACAGTGCAAACTCTGCTCCTAGCTCAGTGATGCTCACATCTCGACAGCCGGAGCGACCACAGGTTTTGCCAGACATTGTCGTGCTAGCGCTCCAGCTTCTTCTTTGTATATTGGAAACACAACCCAAAAATAAGCATTTCTGAAGATTTTCTAAGTGGTGATGGTGCTGCTAGTCCAGAAACTAGTTTGGGAACCACTGCTCTCCAAAATTCAAGCTTTCCTGTTTAAGGGATGACTGTCAGAGCCAGCTGCTGCGTAGGCCACCTGCATCCGGAGCTGAGTGCCTGGGCTGGGACACTGGCTCCACTCTCCCCTGTGGCTGCCTACCCACACACACCCTAGAACAGCGAGTGGGCTTCCAGCAGCTGCCACCCTGCCACTCGTGTGGCATGAACCAGCAAAGGGGACATCTCTGTCTACCCACCAGCACCACTTATCAAATCATGAATAAATAATGCACTTTACAAGTAGAAGCTTGTGAGAGAACTATAGTCTAGGTAATAGCGGGGATCTCTTGAAGTCTTAAGTATAACTTCTCTTGGAATTGTAGGACCGAATCATCGATGCTGGCCCCAAAGGAAACTACGCGCGGTTCATGAATCATTGCTGCCAGCCCAACTGTGAGACTCAGAAATGGTCTGTGAATGGCGATACCCGTGTTGGTCTTTTTGCCCTGAGTGACATTAAAGCAGGTAAGACCCATTGTAAATATTCTGTAGCTAAGACCTAAATTTCAAGCCAAGCACAGTAGCCTAGAGGCTAAAGTCCTTGCTTTGCATGTGCTGGGATCCCATTTGGGCACTGCTTCTTACATCGGCTGCTCCACTTCCCATCCAGCTCCCTGCTTGTGGCCTGGGAAAGCAGTGCAGGACGGCCCAGAGCCTTGGACCCTGTACCCGCGTGGGAGAACTGATGGAAGCTCCAGTCTCCTGGCTTTATATCGGCTCAGCTGTTGCGGTCACTTGGGGGTTGGGCCAGCAGATGGAAGATCTTTCTCTCTGTATCTCCTTCTCTCTGTCTGTCTGCCTTTTAAGCAAAATAAATAAACCTTTATTTAAAAAAAAGGAATGGAATTGGAACTGAATTGACAACCTCCAAGTTGCATTATTTTTAATAAATTTATTGATTTACTTGAAAGGTTGAGTTACACAGAGAGAGGGAAAAATGGCAAAGAGGGTTCTTCCATCTCCTGCACCTTCCTTGTGGGTGCAGGAGCTCCAGCATGTAAGCCATCTTCTACTTTTCCCAGGTCATTAGCAATTAGCTGGTTCAGAAGTGATATAGCTGCGCGTTCATCAGCCCCCAGATAAGATGGCTGCACTGCAGGCAACAGCTGTACTCACTATACCATAGAGCCCACCACTAACTTGCATGTTTTTAAAATACTTATTAAAGTTTCTTTTGAAAGAGTTACTGGGAGAGAAGGCGATACACAGATTTTCCGTTGCTGAGTCACTGCCCAGATGGCTACAATGGCCAGGGTTCTGCCAAGCTGAAGTCATGAGCCAGGAACTTCTCTCTGGTCTCTCACATGGGTGCAAGGGCCCAAACACTTGGGCCACTCTGATGGTTTCCCAGACCAGTAGAAGACGCAGGAACAGAAATGGAGCAGCTGGAGCGTGAATCAGTGTTCATATGGGGATCCAGCATCACAAACGGTGGCTTTGCCCTTTCTACCACAATACTAGCCCAACTGTTAGAATCCAATATGTACAGCCAGCCACCGTGACCTAGTGGCTAAAGTCCTCGCTTTGGACACGCCATGATCCCATATGGACAGTGATTCTTTTTTTTTTTTTTTGTAAGATTTATTTTATTTTTATTGGAAAGGCAGATATACAGAGAGGAGAGACAGAGAGGAAGATCTTCCGTCCGATGATTCACTCCCCAAGTGAGCGCAACGGTCGATGCTATGCCGATCCGAAGCCAGGAGGCTCTTCCGGGTCTCCCACACGGGTGCAGGGTCCCAAAGCTTTTGGGCTGTCCTCCACTGTTTTCCCAGGCCACAAGCGGGGAGCTGGATGGGAAGAGGGGCTGCCGGGATAGAACCAGTGCCCATATGGGATTCCGGGCATGCAAGGCGAGGACCTTAACCACTGCGCCACAGCGCCAGGCCCTGGACAGTGATTCTAATCCCAGTGGCCCTGCTTCCCATCCAGCTTCCTGTTGTGGCCTGGGGAAGCAATCAAGGACGGCCCAGGAACTTGGAAACCTGCATCCATATGGGAGACCCAGAAGAGGCTCCTGGCTCCTGGCTCCTGGCCGTTGCAACAGCTTGGGGAGTGAATCAACAGACAGAAGATCTTCCTCTCTGTCTGTCCTCCTCTGTGTATTTGCCTTTCTAATAAAGATAAATCATAGACCATATAGAATTTTAAAACGGAAGTAAAGTTGTATGACTTCAAAATGAGTATTCTAGAAGCATTAGTAAAACAGTTAAAAATTGTTGTTATAGACTTAAATTGCTACTGGGCTAACCTGGCTAATTCATAATTTACAATAGTATAGTGTACTGTTCACAGAAATCCCATTTGTACTTCCTCCTGGAAGAGGATTTGAGCTCTATTGTCTCCTAATGTGTATTGTTTTTGTAATCTTTAAAAATTGTTTTTCTATTTAGGGGGCTTTTATTTGCTGGTTAATTCCCCACAAGCTGAGGCTGGGTCACTCTATAGCTGGGAGCCAGGTTTATATCCCACGTTGGAGGCAAGCATCCAACTACTTTTGCAATCCCTGTTGCCACCCAGGCTCATCACTGGCAGAAGGCCTTCCAGGAGCTACAGCTGCAGACAGAGAGACAGCTCCAGGGAACCTGGCCTTCTTAATCTGGGCTGAACTCCTGCTCCATTGGGTTTACAGGACTTCTTTTATTGTTTTTAGAATTCCAAATTTTTAAATTTTAGTGTTCAAATAGCTTGTACCTTTGTTTTTGCATTTGCTGTTTATTAGCCACTACATGGCGAAGACAAAACACCTCAGTATCATTATATTATGCATTGCACTCTGCTTGGCAAAATGATACTGATTTTAAAATGTTGACTTGTATCAGGGTTTTGGAATGAGTGAATGACATCAGAGTAACTCAGTAGGGTGGTTCTTTGAAACAGGAAGGATCGTGTAAACACCAGAAACCAGACAATATTCAAGCATACTAGCTCATTGTGTCCTAGCAAAGTGATTGTGAAAAAGGTGGTTTTATATGTGTGTTCCTGGTAGTTCCTGGAGGCTCAGATGTTTCTCTTGCTTCCGTTTCCCTTTTCCCTGATCATTGTAGGGCGGAAAGGGTTCCTCTTTTACAATTCCTCCAGTGTTAGCTCTGGAGTTTCGTGCTGGCATGCCTTCCCATTGTCAGCACGTGTCTCTCAGATCCTCTGGTGGTATTCCTGTGCTTGACTTCCTTTGCTCCGTGTAGCCGCAAGCCCCCCTGCCACTTTGTGGGACTTGGTGCTGGAACTCACAGACCTTGTTCCTGTACTCATGTAGCTTCTAGTCTCCATGCTTGAGACGGGGACTGTGGGACAGGTGATGCTTAGGCAGGGTGTGTCTGTTGGAATGGAACCATAGGCAGATGGAGCAAATCATTCTCATCCAGCTCCCCGGGCTCTTCATAAACTGTTGCTGTCTCCCACGTGTGCCATCCTCACTCCTGTGTCTTCTCGGATGTTCTTGGCCATCTAAAGTAACTGGAGATCTTGCAGGGATCATTGGACTGTTTTGGGATAGTTGCTGTGTTTCCTTTCTTGAGGCTGACACTGTTTTGATATCTTTACCTGACTTTGAAGGTGTTGGGCAAGCAGAATATTAGGGCATGTATTAAGTTGTCTGATATTTGAACATGAAGTTGCACACATACAGAAATTCAGTTAGGTAGTAACATGTATTTTAGCAAAAAAAAAAAAAAAATCGAGCTGGTAACTTGACAGTGAATGTGGCACTTGGTACCTGCAAGTTTCTCCAAGTGTATTATAGTTTGTTAAACTGAATAACTAAATGATTATCTGTTTGCAGCATTAGGTATAAATTGTGCCTAGTCTCAGCTATGAAAGATTTTGTTATTCTGCAGTGGAAAGTCTGTCTGAGGCCTGTTGGTCTTGCCAGTTCTCTGGTGTAAGCCATGGCCCCAACACAGAGGGAATATCTTTCTACCAGGCCTTCCCTCGTCACACTTTGAAGGGTACACATGGAATGAATCTGTGAGCTTTATGTGTACTCACAGTTTGATCACAAGGACAAACAAGGGGTAACTTTTTTTTATTATGTTAAATTTTGAATTTTACCGTACAATTCTGCAGAGTCTGGGATTCCCACCACCCAATTCCCACACCCGACTGACTTTCAAACAAGGAGTATTTTGTACCTTAATTTTGCACTTCTGTTTTCAAGTTTACCAATTGCCGTGTGTGCCTTAATAAGATTGTGAGATTTTCTTATCCTTTCACAAAGTGGGCTGCTCGTAGCTCCGACCATTGAGGCAGGTGGCAGCGTAGTTTGGATATGTAGCCAAGCTCGTCTAGGCCCTACTCCATGACCCTGTACTGTGATGCCAGGTGAGGTATGCTTCCCGGACACAAACTCGATTTTCTCCATGCATTTATTCCCAGTGCCTGGCATACTTATACAGGCCAAGTTATCAGTTCCTATGTTTTGAGTTTAAATTATTAGAAATAAGTGAAAATCAACTTGGAGGTTTGAATGATGACTCAGCTTGCGAATCATCCTCCTGCACACACCAGCACTCCATAGGGGCACCAGTTCATGTTCCAACTGCTCTGCTTTTCATCCAGCTCCCCAGGTTCATGACATAGAAAAGCAGCTGAGGAGGGCCTATGTCCTTAGGATCCTGCATATGTGTGAGAGACCCAGAAGAAGCTCCTGGCTCTTAGTTTCAGATGAGAATTAATTTTATAGGATTAGAATTGATTTTGTGAGATTCGGGCTAATAACTTGTTATCCTCTTGTTAAAAATCTATTCTCTTGGACATTAATATTCTTTGTCACTGATATAGAAATAATGTTTCTGACACGATAGATGTTAATGGTTTCACTGTCTTTAATGCAGGAACTGAGCTTACCTTCAACTACAACCTTGAATGTCTTGGAAATGGAAAGACCGTTTGCAAATGCGGAGCTCCAAACTGCAGCGGCTTCTTGGGCGTGAGGCCAAAGGTAGCACACTTCTTGATTTTGTATTAGTAGTAATAATGTGGTCCTCATTCCCTGACAGTATGAACAGACCTTCATTTTCATAAGATACATATTTTTGATAGATTTATTAACGTATGCATGGCAGAGTGATAGAGGCAGTCCATCTGCTTGTACACTCTCGAGGCCCACATCAATGATGCCTGGGAGCCAAGCGCTCCTTGCAGGTCTCCCTAATGAGTGGCAGGGGACCACATGCTGGAGACCATCATCTACGGCCTCCTGGGCCGATGAGCCAGAAATTGGGTCAGAAGGAAAGTAGCCACCACACGTTCCAGACACCCTGATATAGGATGCTGGCGTCCTCAAGCAGCAACCTAGCCTACTACACAAAATGCCTGCCCCAGGCCTGGCATGGTAGCCTCGTGGCTAAGGTCCTCACTTTGCACGTACCAGGATCCCATGTGGGCTCTGGTTCTAACCCTGTGGCCCTGCTTCCCATCCAGCTCCCTGCCTGTGGCCTGGGAAAGCAGTCAGGGACGGCCCAAGGCCTTGAGACCCTGCACCCTGTGGGAGACCCAAAGAGGCTTCAGGATACTGGCTTTGGATCAGCTCAGCTCCGGCCATTGTGGCCACTTGGGAAGTAAATCATCAGATGGAAGATCTTCCTGTCTCTCTCCTCCTCTCCGTATATCTGACTTTCAAATAAAATATTTAAAAAAAAAAATGTCTGCCCCAAGAAGGTAGTTTTGGGAAGTAATGAAATTAAGTATCATTGGTCACTCAGAATCTACTAGGTTTGTTGTTGTTGTATTTGGCTTCTAAATATCTACATGTGGGTCACTGATTAAGGTAGGGAGGGTTGAGGGATGGCAGGAAGGAAGGTAGGACAAATGTGTACTTTTTTTTCTTTCTTTTTCTCCTGTAACTGCGGGTGGGGAGAGGAATGGGGAAGTGCCACACCTCGCTGTCAACGTGCGTCAGCCTCTGGGAATGGGGGGTGTTCATGTGATTTCATCTTGGGGACACCAATGTGGGGAAACATGTTCCAAGGGTGTTACTTGAGTGGTTTTGATAGTTCTGAGACATTGTTGGTTTTGTTGCACCAGCGTTAAGAAACTCCAAGGCTTATTGGATGACCAAGTCTTTCTTTAGTGCATCCACGGGTCCAGACACTTGCTGCAAAACTTGCCTAGGATAGTGGTCCAACCTGTTCTGCTTTCCATCTTCTGATGAGGTACTTGGCGTCCTCTGCTGACCTAGAAGAGCTGGCTGTCAGGTCCCCCATATGCATCTGGGTATTGCTGTCTGCTACACAGACCACAGCAACTGGAGGCCCAATCCCAGCACATGTACATGTCCCCTATCAGACCACACAACCAGCGATTTTTCCCTTGACCAGGTTCTAAGTCCAGTGGTTTAGTCAGGGAGTTGCCCCCAAGAAACTTTGTGTGGGGTTACCTCAGACCTGACTCCTGTATGTACTAGCTAGTGCAGGGTCTCATTTGGTCTTTTACCTGCACCAGCCAATGCACATACCAGTGGATGGAAGCTTCCTGGTCAGTGCCATCCCAGCCCCATATCTCACATGAACAGTCAAGTGCTATGGCATTGAGCAGCCCAGCTCACCACAGACCCAGTCTTCGTGCACACTGGTGGGTGCTGCATCCTAGTCAGTACCTCATCCTAGCTCCACCTGGTTTACCCCCAGTTCCAGTTCATCATACTGGTGAGTGCTACAGCTCTGTCCAGCCTAGCCAGCCCCTAATCCTTGCCATCAAGTGCACTGGCAGATGTTGTGGCCCACACAGACCCGGCCCCCATGTATGCTGATGATTCCTATAGCCTGACCTGGTCTCTCTTGGGCTGGGCTACCGCCAACCTCAGCCTCCTGCCCAGCGGGAGCTGCAGCATAGTTGGGGAGTTCCCCATGTTCCCCTATCAGACCATCTTACAGCCCCAGATCTTGCACGCTCAAGTAGTTGCTCAGCATAGCCTGAAAATAGCCTGCCTCGATCTGGCATTCTTGGAGGATACTGCAGCAGTGCCCAGCCAGTCCACCCCCATGCTGACTCTCAGGTGGGTGCTAAACCCAGCCCCGACTGGCCCACTTTGAGACCCCACTCTTATGTCGAACATTGGGTGGCACATCCTAACCTTGCCTGTCCCATCCCACACCCACTTTGTCTCTTCTGAATACCTGTGGGTAACGGGACCCACCTAGCCCAATCTGTCCTGCTCCCAGGTCCAGCCTACATATATGCTGAGAGGTGCTGTAGCCGTGTTCATCCCATTCTTCCCCTAGCCCTGGTTTCCACTGCAGCCTAGTGAAGAGTCTTCTAGTTCCCCTGCCAGGTCAGCTGCCAGCCTGGGCAGCGGGTGGTATAGCCTAACCTTACCCAGCCTGCCCCATCCTTTGCTGTCATGTGAACTGACAGGTGAGGTCTCCTAGCGCAGTGCACATGTGCTGGTGAGTGCAGAGGCCTGGCCTGGCATGGCCCACACTCCATCCTGGCTCTTGTGTGCCAGCAGACAATGTATCCTGGTCTGCTGTCTGGCCAGCCCTGGCGCTTGTGGTCACCAGTGGGCACTCTACAGCCAAGTTCCCGTAAGTTCTCCTACCAGGCTCGCTCCTAGACCCAGATCTCAGGCTTGTTGGCAACTGTTAAATCCCTGCCCGGCAGCGTCTGTCCCCAGTCCTAGTCTTTGCACATGTTGTCGGGTGTGCCAGTCCCCTGTGTGTCAGTGAGTTCCATGGCCTTGCATAGTTTTGCAAGTTTGTGAACCCACATAGCGCCTACAGGATCTGCCCTCAGGTCTGGTTCTTTCACATGCCAGTTGGTGTCATGGCCTAGCCTTGCCAGACAAGCCCTCTAGCTCAGGTCTGCAATGTGAGAGATTTGATCTAATCCAGACATGCTCTCCTGTGTCCCTTTTCTAAACCACCCAGTCTCTGTTGTTTACCTGTAAGTGCAATGGCCCAGTTCATGGATGCCTCGGAAGTCATCCCACCCCTGTGAAGCACTCCCTCAGCAGCCCCTACTCACACACAACTCCAAACCCATTTCCCTGGGCAATCTACAGCCCCCTTGCCAGCGCGGGTCCTGGGGTGGCCTTTCAGCAGACACACTGGCCCCTCTCACATATTTTTAAAAAAAATAGGCAACTTTGCTGGCACACTGGTATACTTAAGAGTTAGTCAACTGTTGGCTGCTTTTCTCCCAGCAGTTGCCCACAGCTGGCGTACTAAATATTCTAATAAGCAATTTGGGCAAGCAAGAAAATATCTTTGCGTATTGTTGAAGGAAGATTTTTGAATAATCTGACTTTTAACTAATGATATACTACATTCTAGACATTTGAAGGGCTACAAGACAAGAACCTGTAAACTAGGTTGCTTCCCACACCTTTATTGGCCTTAACTGACCTCACGTCTCCTATAACAAGCTATGTAGATTAGGATCTCTGTCATCCTGCACCTGAATTTAAGATTCTACATGTAGTATAATGCCACACCATTTATTTTCACCATTATAGCAAAATACAAATATTGTTATATCTTAATACCTGTTTTTTTAATCACTGAAATTAAAGTTGTTTAACTTTTAAGAATCATTTACAGGTCTATAACCTGCATTTATTATAAAAGATTTTCCTTCCTCTTATGCAATATCTATTGCATATCTATATCTATATATATATGTATATACATATAATATACAGACAGACAAACACATACACCCCATCTGCTGCTTTACTTCCCAAATGCAGTGAAGTTAGGAAACCTATTCTGGTGTTCCAAGTTCTTGAGCCATCCTTGGCTTCCCAGGTTCCTTAGCTAGACACTGGGAGGTGAACAGAACAGTGGGGTGCACCAGCACTCCGACAGGAGATCAGACTCCGACAGAATCATCAGAATGGTTGCGACCCTACTGCACCACAGTGCACATGCTTTACTTTTACCTGTTTCTCATGCTGTTTTCTGTGGTGGATGGACCATAATACATGCAAACTAGACCACAACGATTCTGATTAGGTGTGTTCCCATAATGCATTTTGTTTTCGAAATTTAAAACTCAATAACAGTTTGTGCTAATTAACCTAGAAATCGGTGAGACCTTAAGTCACTTTGTAGTAATTATATGAAAATAAAGAACAATCTACCTATCATGTTAATGGATAAGAAAATCACCTCTATATTATACTGGTTAAATCTATAACGTCTGTTAAGTGCTCACATTCCTTAGGATATCAGTTGATTTCTGCGTGTTAAAGCAGCGGTGGAGTTCCCATCAGTAATGTCTAACATGCAGTGGTGATGTCCTTTTCTGCATCCTTGCTTTTAGTGAATGTTGGCCTGTCACTAGAGGACAGATTTTTTTTTTTTTTTTAGATTTATTTATTTTTATTATAAAGCCAAATATACAAAGAGGAGGAGAGACAGAGAGGAAGATCTTCCGTCTGATGATTCACTCCCCAAATGACCACAATGGGTGGTGCTGCACCGACCTGAAGCTAGGAGCCAGGAACTTCCTCCAGGCTTCACACGTGGGTGCAGGGTCCCAAGGCTTTGGGCCATCCTCGACTGCTTTCCTAGGCCACAAGAAGGAGCTGGATGGGAATTGGATCTGCCGGGATTGGAACCAGTGCCCATATGGGATCCCGGCACATTCAAGGCGAGGACTTTAGCCACTAGGCCATCGTGCTGGGCCCTAGAGGGCAGATCTAAATGAAGGCTCATAGATTGATCGTAGCCATTTCTAGGCTAAGCTGAAAAATGTGATGAAAGCCACAGCATTTGGTTATGAGTGTGGGATCAGGGAACTTGGAGGAGACCTGCTCATCCCATCAGGGTCTGTCTTGGGAGTGACAGGTATGATCCTAATTTGATTTAAAGGTTCATAGCCAGGGGCAAGCCCAGCTTCAACCTGGCTGCTTCCCTTCTGATGCAGCTTCCTGCTGCTGCTCCTGAGAAACTGCAGAGGATGCCCCAAGTGGGAGACGCAGGAGACGAGGAAGATGCTCCTGGCTCCTCTTCAGACTGGCTCAGGTCCAGCTGTTGTCACCATTTAAGGAAAATCTCTGTCTCTTCCTTTCCCTGTGCCTCTCCTTAATCAGTCTTTTTGCTTTTTAAGGCTTGCTTATTTATTTATTTTGGGAAGTCAGACGTACCAAGAGGAGGAAAAACAGAGAGCAAGATCTTCATCCAATGATTCACTCCCCAAGTGGCCACAATGGCTGAGCTGATCCAAAGCCAGGAGTTTCTTTCGTCTGCCACGCAGGCTTTGGGCCATCCTCGACTGCTTTCCTAGAAAGCTGGATGAGAACCTGGGCCGCTGGGACACAAACTGGTGCCCATATGCGATCCCGGTGCGTGTAAGGCAATGACTTTAGCCACTAGGCTCCCATGCCAGGCCCATAAATCAGCCTTTATAAAAATGAAGATTAATAGCCTTGTTGAGGACAACTACCATGAATTAATTTTCTATCTCCTTAATACTAAGTTCTTTAGTGATTTTTTTTTTGAATAAATATATACATACAGCAATTTCCATTGTGGCATGCTGGGTTAAGTCACTTAGGCATGCCAGTTTCTTTTATCTTAGTGATAGTTCCCGTCTCAGCTACTCAGCTTGCCGTCCAGTTTCCTGCTAATGCTTTTGGGAAGGCAGCAGACAATGGCCTGAGTCCTTGGGACCCTGCTACCCCTGTAGCATGATGGGGGAGGGCTCTTGGCTGCTCACTTTGCTGTTGTCTCATCCTTGGTTATTGTAGCCATTTGGGAACTGAACTAGCAAATAGACCATCTCTCTCTGTCTGCCCCCCTCTAGCCTGCCTTTCAAATAATAACCTTTTTTTTTTTTAATGGATATATAATCACATATATTCTTCAATCTTTTTGGGTAGTAGGAGTTGTTGATATAAAACAAGTGGTAATTTGACCCTTTGTTGAGCAGACTTGCCTGGCGCCCGTGCTGTGTGTGCTCTTGTACTCACGATGGCTTTCAGAGTAGTGTATCTCCCCGAGCAGAGACCAAGGCTCAGAGATGAGCTGGTCGCGATGACGCAGCTGTGATGACCACATGTTATTATGTCACCTCTAGAATCAGCCCATTGCCACAGAAGAAAAGTCCAAGAAGTTCAAGAAGAAGCAACATGGGAAGCGCCGGAGCCAGGGCGAGATCACGAAGGAGCGAGAGGATGAGTGCTTCAGCTGCGGGGACGCTGGCCAGCTCGTGTCGTGCAAGAAGCCTGGCTGCCCCAAAGTCTACCATGCAGACTGTCTGAACCTGACCCGGAGGCCAGCAGGTCGGCTCCCAGCGCTCGTCTGACTCTGGTTCCGTTGGCCTTGATCAGAAAGAAGGGGTTCATTGCTTCTCCGTGCATGATGCTGAGGGCTGGGGTTCATGTTCTGATTCTGTAGTTGTGATTCGAGCTCACACTTCTAGGATTTAAGCAAGGGAAGCTCACCTCCTGTGTGTCAAATCCTTTACTTAGATTGTGTTTTTCGCATTCCTGTCAACCTACAGTGTCATTTTCTTCCTCTAATGCATATTAGTGTCAGGATTAGTGCAATAAATTGTTACCAATCAGTGCAGGAGTTCCTTTTGAAAGAAAATTTTTTTCTCTCACCTTATGGAAAAATGGTTGAGATAGTAGAGCTTTCGGGACATTCTGTCTGAGAGGTGGGTTGGCACCTTTCTTCCAGCTTCTACCCTACTCCTGTACCCTTAGTCGGTTCACTACCCCACTCCTGTACCCTGTAGTCGGGGTCAGTCACTAACCCGCTGCTGTACCCCTTAGTCGGTTCACTATCCCACTCCTGTACCCCGTAGTCAGGGTCAGTCACTACCCTGCTCCTGTACCCCTTAGTCGGGTCATTACCCCGCTGCTGTACCCCTTAGTCGGGTCACTACCCCACTCCTGTACCCCGTAATCAGGATCAATCACTACCCCGCTGCTGTACCCCTTAGTCGGGTCACTACCCCACTCCTGTACCCCTTACATCACTTTCGTAGGGATTTTTTTTCTCCTGATGAATTTGTAACTTTTGTCACTAGGCACAAATTTGAGCTTGTCTGACAAATGTAATACCCAGCAACTGGTAGCTGGAGATGTTGACTCCCTTTGGTAATGATCATTGCTTGGAATGTTTTAGAGATTTGAACATGCCACGTATTTTAATGAACAAAGGGAGAAGCCACTCCAGGGATAGCAGATTACACGTCACTAAAAATTGGCTTCCAGAAATCACAGCTTTAAGGTAGAGAAATGTATGTTCTTGAATTGGCTTCTTTTTAATGTGCATTTTGTCAGGAAAATGAAATAACATCAGCTGGATAGTGTGAGGGCAAGGCCGTAACATTTGCGTCTCAGAAGTAGGAAGTGGAATGAGGAATTGTTCCAGAAACAATGAACTTGGGTGGATCTGTCACACATGCTGGCTATGACAGTAATGATCTTGTTCACAGATCCAGAATGAGGTCAAGTGTGGTTTATTCTTGGGGTAGAAGCCGTTGACACGGTCAAAACTCATGTTCCATATGAAAATGGGACAACTAAGTTAGACAAGCTGTGAAATTTTTACATGATTTCCAGATAAGCATGGGCGAATCTGCTTTCATCTTTTTGCACTTGTGTAACTCTTTCTTATTCTTGTAAATGACTGTGTAGGGCATGAGTTAAGTGTCTGGATGTTTCTCTTCTAGTCGAAGATGTAAAAGTTGTAAAAGAGCAATGGACTTGGCAGACGTTGGAAGGAATAGCCAAACATTCCATCCAAAAGAAGCTTTGACGGGAGGTGCCCCACCCTCCTTGCTGGAAATGGCCATAAACATAGAGTTTATTCCTCTGCTTGTATGTGTTTGATTCCTAGCTGCTCGTGGAGACTTTGCCTTATTCCCCAGAGGGAGCTGCAGCTCTGGGAAGGAGAGGTGGCAGTGAGCTGCGTGAATTCCCTGGAGAGCTGGCAACCTGAAGGAGGCTGGCTCTGCATCCGCTTTCTGTCCTTTCTTACATGGGTCCTGTGTCTCCCAACCCCTGGTCCACTGAGCTTTTGTTTCTCTCGTGTGCTTTCAGGGAAGTGGGAGTGTCCATGGCATCAGTGTGACATCTGTGGGAAGGAAGCAGCCTCCTTCTGTGAGATGTGCCCCAGCTCCTTCTGCAAGCAGCACCGGGAAGGCATGCTCTTCATTTCCAAACTGGACGGGCGTCTCTCTTGTACTGAGCATGACCCTTGCGGGCCCAACCCTTTGGAGCCTGGGGAGATCCGTGAGTATGTGCCTCCCCCGGTCCCACTGCCTGCCGGCCCGGGGGCTCCCCTGGCACAACAGTCATCGGGGGCAGCTGCTCAGGCGCCCAAGGTATCAGATAAGGCATCTGCTGAAACCAACCAGACGCCACTCTCTAAGAAAGCTCTGGCAGGGACTTGTCAGAGGCCACTGCTGTCTGAAAAACCTCTTGAAAGAACTGACTCCAGACCCCTGCTTTTAGATAGGGTCAGAGAACTGGCTGGGTCAGGCACCAAATCCCAGTCCTTGGCATCCAGCCAAAAGCCATTGGCCAGGTCACCTTCAGTGGCAGGACCAAGACCCCAGCTATCTGACAAACCCTCTCTGGCAACTGGCCCAGGCTCCTCACCCTCTGTCAGGCCCCAGCCACTGGAGAGACCTTTGGGAACAACTGACCCACGTCTGGATAAATCTATAGGTGCTGCCAGCCCAAGGCCTCAGTCACTGGAGAAAACCCCAGTTCCTTCTGGCCTGAGACTTCTGCCACCAGACAGGCTGCTAGTGAGCAGCAGTCCCAAAGCCCAGACAGCAGACCGACCCTTGGACAAGCCCCACGTCCCTCTATCCCAGAGACTCCCGCCCACAGAAAAAGTCCTGTCCGCTGTGGTCCAGACTTTGGTGGCTAAAGAGAAAGCACTAAGGCCTGTGGACCAGAATACTCAGTCAAAAAACAGAGCTGCTTTGGTGATGGATCTCATAGACCTGACCCCTCGCCAGAAGGATCGGGCAGCATCTCCTCCTGATGGCACTCTGCAGGCTGATGAGAAGGTGCCAGTGTTGGAATCAAGCTCATGGGCTGCCAGCAAAGGCTTGGGGCATGTGCTGCGAGTGGTTGAAAAAGGCAGCGTGTCAGAACCTCTTCTCCAACCACCTGGAAAGACGGTGGCCCCTTCAGAGCACCCCTGGCAAGCTGTTAAATCACTCACCCAGGCTAGGCTTCTTTCTCAGCCTCCTGCCAAGACTTTTTTATATGAGCCAGCAACTCAGGCCTCAGGAAGAGCTCCTACAGGGGCTGAGCAGACCCCAGGACCTCCCAGCCAAGTACCGGGCCTGGTGAAGCAGGTGAAGCAGTTGGCCGGAAGCCAGCAACCAGCTGGACTTGCTGTCAAAAGTGGGCAGTCTTTCAGGTCTCTTGGGAAGGCCCCCGCCTCCCTCCCTACTGAAGAGAAGAAATTGGCAACTACAGAGCAGAGCTCCTGGGGCTTGGGAAAAGCCTCCTCAGGGGCAGGACTGTGGCCACTGGTGGCTGGACAGACGCTGGTACAGTCTTGCTGGTCTGCTGGGAGTGCACAGACATTGGCACAAACCTGCTGGTCTCTTGGAAGAGGGCAAGAGCCCAAATCAGAGCAAACTACACTTGCAGCTCTAAGCCAGGCTCCTTCTGGTCACAAGTGTGCAGAGGCGGAACAGAAGTGAGGCAGTGAATGTCACTTAACCAGACAAGCTGTCCCCCCCGCCAGGGTACCATTTGGGGAGAGGAATCTGTTCTTTATCCCCCTTACAAAGCAGATCTACCCCAATACTTCTCCACTGTTACTGTTTCTTTCATAGCAACACTCAGAACTCTTGTGATATTAGCCAGTGGGGACTTGCCGTTGTGTCCACCGTGTACGGAAATCCAAGCGGGGCCCAGCCAAGGAACAGACAAGACTCTCTTTCCTCCATCTTCTACATGGTCAACTTAAAATAAAAAGTCCATTCTGGAGTCAAACATGGAATTCAATTCCGCTGGTCAAGATGGAAGGTAGAGGGGCTCTCAGAGCTATTTCCCTACCCTGACAGATCCCCACTGGGGGCACCTGATGAACCTGTGGGCAAAACTGATGTTCTTCAAATCGGTGCAGGTTTCCTGTGCATTGTTGCATGCCGGGCCAGGTGTTAGTTACTGGTCCACCTGCAGAGGTGAACAAGGCCGGATGCCCCATCGGCGTAACATTGCTGCCTGCGCTCCCAGGCTGCTTCAAGAAACCTTTGACCAGGAAGTAACAGGAAATTCTGTGGGGCCCCAGGGCTCCACACGCATTTTGAAATATCCTTTGTGGCACCGGAAGTGGTGGTTGTGTTGAGTAAGCGTCTCCTGTGTGGAGTGTGTGTGCTACATGGACCTGCACACTCAGGCCGAGGTCTGCCGGTAGACAGAAGGGTGCCATGTCACGTCCAGGTGCTGCTGCTACCCTTGGCTCTGTGTGGGCTGCGTAGTGTCTGAAGATGCCTGGAGGAGCAGCTGGTCGGGGGGAGCTGGGCTCTATGGGAATATAGCTTTCCCAGCATCGGACGAAGGCGACTGACAAGTTTACCTTTATTTTCTACCAAGTTTCCTCTTTTGACATGAACCCACCCCATTCCCCAACACTCAGGTGCTTTCAGATTTCAGTCTCGGGCAGTAGACATAGGGAAAGCTCTGGCAAGCACTGAGCTAGACACACCAGCTGCGGGACGAGTGCCAGATCCTGATGGAAAATTACTTCTGGATCCTTTGCCCTCCTGACTGAACAGAGGGGCTCTCTCACCTCCCTGAGAACTGCTGTGCTCTCCTGTGAGAGCACCTGTCTGCTGCCGTAGCTCAGAGGCGAGCCTGGAGACAAGTGAGGCATGGTGTTGGCGCAGTGTCCTGTCTGAGATGACTCCTCGCGACTGCTGATTATCTGTTACTGCTGCCCTGAGCTGGGGCCCAAGGGCTGGGAAATCTGTCGGTGCTACCTTGCCCTAGCATTCACCCAGCTCACCGACTGCCGGCAGGAAGTGCTGTGTGGCTTGTCCCCTTGCCCGCCCCCTGCACTCTGGTCCCTAGACCAATGTGTTTACCTTTTTGCTTTGCCAACTTAGCCAACAGGCCACCCTCTGGCCCGACATCTGGCCATACCATCTCATGTATGACCCTTCACACCCTCCCCAGGAGTCTGTGTTTTATCCCAATTTCTTCCTCTTAAGTTCCTACTGCGGTTTCTCCATCACTTCCAAGGAGGGAACAGTAGTTACAGAAGCATTTGCGCTTTATAGAATCTGCTTTTATTTCCCAAAGTTTGTCTCTAGGGTTGAGACACCCGAACTCAGGCAGAGGGCCGAGGCTGGGCAGGGCTGTCCCAAGTTGAGGGGCCTCTCTCTGCATTTCCCTGAGACCTCAGAACCTCCTCTGTGAACTCCACCTGCCTAGTTCTCACTTTTAATCCTAACTCTTCCCACATCACCAGAGAGGAAAAGCTCTTTGTTCAAAAGGAAGAGAAAACATAAAGCATCTTATTTTCTTTTAAAAGAATTTTAAACCATGAAAAAGATATTTTTAAAGAAATTCACCCAGAACATTAAAGTTCACTATATTAAGTATTTATCATGTGTGAGATAATGAGTATCTAACTGCAGCTAGTAGGTCTCTTTCCCTGAGTCTCTTAGGTTGTGCGAGTAGGGTTTGCTTGGTGCCAGTCCTGTGCCCTTTCTCTCCTGCCATCGTAGTTGTGATGAGAAGATATCTGCACTGTTGGAATCTCTTCACTATGTTGTGTGTTAAATTACCGTAGCTCTTTGTTTCATGAAATAAACTGTGAATTGGGGGGTGGGGCGTGCAGGCTATGTAAACATTTAAATGGAGAAGTTTCATCCTGAACTGGCTTCGCTGAAGTACGCTTTGGTAGGTAACTGGCTCCATGGCCATCTAGTTGGCGTCTCACAAGACGGGAAAGAACTGAGGGAAGGGGAGCCAGGATTGGCCACTGCATGGTCCGGTTTGGTTCATTCCACTCTCCACCATTCCGGAGGCTGCTTCCCAGACCCGCCGTAGTGGGTTTTGCGGGGCAGCTCTTCACCTCAGTGGGTGAACACCAGGCTTCCATCTCATCACAGCATCTGAGTTTAGACTGTTAAGATCATGGAAGCAGTCCCTTTCCAAGCAGAGGCAGCATCCTTACATGCGAGAAGGGGGAGGGGTGACTGCCAGCCCTTTCTATCTAATCCAACCTATCAAGGGACCCTTTCTCTAAGAGGGTGTGATTGGCAGCTGAAGGATATCTTATAGAAAATTCATGATCATTATGCAGGATTGGTTTTATGGTATTTGCCTAAGTCCTTGGAAATTGTGTCCTCAAGGTAGTCCATCTCTGACCCAGAATTAGGAGGAATTTTTAGGGGCAGACCAATAACCTCTCCTGGCTGTGTGTACTCAGAAGAAAAGTATGGAATTGTTTGAAATGTGCATTCAAATAGGAGGAAAAAAAAAAAAGCTATTTCTGCTACAGAGAATCCACGTTTAAAAAAAGTCTGCTTTCGGCTGAAGTCCCCTAGTTTGTGCCGAGCCTCTTCTGAACCAAAGCCGTACCTTCTGCATTGATGAAAATAATGACTTCCATTCTTTGCTTCTCCTGCTCACTGCAGTCAGGGTTTGATAAAAAATATACCTTCCATGCTTTCCCGGGTTCAGCACCCCCTGCTTGCTGTCATCTGAGATGGGGTTCCTGGAGGGAGGTCTGGTCCTGGCAGGGGAGCACTAAGCTGGGATATTTTACCCTTTGCTCCTAGCAAGTGGGATTACTCCTAAGGCTTTTGTTTTGGAATAGTGACACCTTTGGGCTTGTCAGCCAGTCAGGGAGTCCCAGCGTCCTCGCTAGGCTCCTGGCAAGAAAGGCAGCCCCTTCCCAAGCTGTTCCATGTCACACATTCCAGATCATTTAGAGCTAAGTGGCTGCTGCGTGAGCTTTTGGTTGGCTGTGGCAGGGAACTCAGCTGAGCTCCCTAGGGCCAGAGGTTGCTGTAGTGTATATTGAAATAAGAATAGAAAATTGCATTGTATACAAAAATCGTAATGATGGTGCTAATTTCATGTTAAAGATAAGCACTGCCAAGAATGGGGACTGGTGACTTGAGAAACCCAGGCTCCTGGTAGGGAGATTGTTATGGAGGACAGAGCAGAGCCTCGGTGAAGCTGGCATCCAGCCCTAGTGATGGCCGGCACTATCCAGAGGTGGACGAGATTGTGGATCTAGACGAAGGTGGCCAGAGTTTCTCAGGGCTGGGGTCACCTTGTCCATAGCCTCCGTCCACACTGCCTGAAACAGGCTGGTAGAGAGCTCTAGGTGTGGGGTCTCCCTTGGTTACCTCCTGCCCCTCTCTACCTCTTCCAGCCTCTTGGGAGCACCTCTATTGCTTATGAAGATGAAGGGGAGTATTTCTTAAGGAAGTGGGAAGAGTTTATTTTATTTAGAAGTCCACAACCTTGGAAGAAATGTGTCCTGCCGGCATAAGCAAAAATAGCATGTCACAAACTCTCCTGCGATCCCGCCTCTGGAGCTGCTGTCCCAGGACCTGGAGAATATCGGGCTCTCGGGGCTTCCGGCACAACACCCTGGGAGCTGGAGAAGGCACAAGAGGCAGAAGCAGAAATGGTCCTAGGTGCTTCACACCTCTAGGGTCGGGCAGAGCCCAGCGGTGTCCAGCCGAGGCAGGTTCCGCCTGTGTGTGCATGAGGGGCGGGGGACAGCGTGGACGGGCGCTCCTAGGAGAGCAGCTTTCTAGGTCTTGGCAAAGAAACAAGCTGATGACAGAGATCTATCTTTATATTTTTTCAGAAAAGGAGACGGGGGACAGCCAAGGTCTGTCATGGTTTTCTTTGTGCTCACTCCCGCCCCCACAGATTGTCAGCTGTAGGTGAAACTCCTAGTGAAAAAAGAGGGGAGCCCTGTGCTAGGAGTCTCCATAAACATGTACTGTAATTCTTTGTACATAGAAAAATTACTGTAAAGTAAAGTTTAACTTTACTCTTCCGGCCCTTGCCCTGTGTTTTATTTTGCTGTTCTGGGGAGATACAGCCCTGCAGGATGGAGGATCGGTTTGGGGTGAGAACAGAAGTCACTCAAGAGTTCCACAGGGGACAGCCCAGCGGAGCTGAGCCTCCGTCCAGGCCCTCTATGGGAGTAACATAGGTTTCCTTGGCTGCTGGGAGTGGCTGGTGTGTTTCAGAACCCTCCACAGGAAGTCTCCATCACTCATGGAGGAAGAGCACTTTGAGGAATTGGCTTTTAAAAAAGGAAGTGGAACCAAAGCACTTTACAAATGAGTCAGACCTTGTTGGGCAGGTGCTGAGTCCTAGGACTCTGCACGAGCCTAGAAGCAGTGGAGCAGAGGCTCCTGGCCCGGGCCTCACCCACCACACCGGAAAAGGTGGCGTTCCTTCTGGTGGATCGGGAGGCATCATCCTGTGAACCTTAACACCTGCGACTTGGAGCAGCTCTGGGGGTCTGCCCATCTGACCGTGTCCTTGCTGTCCTCGCCATCCCGCCCTTCGAGCACACAACCTTCAGGATTCACAGCTGCTGAAGGGTCAGTCTTAGTAGCCGCCCATTTGGATGCCAAATCCCTGAACCCTTTCTTGTCTTGGAGAACTTGAATTCTTTCCCACCATGAAACCACAGCGTAGACTGTCAGAAGCTGAGCACCTGAGCCATGGGCCTGATGTCCGATGGCCAAGACGTGCCAGGCTCGACCCTGTCCTTCTGGGCTGTACCTCTCACTGGGGTCAGAGTGGCAGAGACACCCTCTGGCATCTCAGTCACAGCCTCCCTAGAGGCCTGGCTAGGTGTCCTGGGAAGGTGTCCTCACACCTGGACCACAGAGCAGGGACAGGGGCTGAGTGTGATTCACAGTGCACTCATTTTATTTACAGATCATAAGCCACTTAAGTAATCTGCAGATAACAACAGGTGTTGTCCCGGGCAGAAACCTGAGGTCCAAATCGGCCCTTAGCCCTCCTCTTGCCCACAGCCAGCCCAGTGCTGCCTCCGTGCCATGGGCCAGCACAGGCAGGTGCCACCTCTGCTGCCACGGGGACGTGGGGTAGCTCAGACATTGGACCACCTGAGCCCCGGACAGGAGCTGGGTTCCAGCCCCTCTGGGGAATTCCATCAATCCCCCCAGGCCAGGTGAGTGGTGACTCAGTGATGACAACAGCTGTAGAAGTAGGGATTGGCCTTCTGGCCCAGATCCACGCCCTTGTCCTCTGAAAGAGAGAGGTGGCAGCTCAATGGCAGGAAGGGGCAGCACACTGAGCCCAAAGTCGGACAGCGCACAGAAACACACACCTGTCATCACCTGGAAGGCAGCCACGCTGACGTAATCCTCTGCCACTTTCTGGAAGAGCTCGTCTGACAGGAAAAGGATGTCTGTGAGGCTGGAGGAGCCAGAGCCAGAATCTCCCAGCCTTGGGCATCCCTGCCTGGTCCTGCAGTGGGGACCCAGGACATCACTCACCAACACTCTGGCCTGTCTTGCTAGATGTTTCAAAGAGCTGAGCTTGGATATCTGTAAAGAAAAGTGATTCAGCCTCGTACCCGAGAATCAAGGAGACCATCTCCCCTCATCCCACGGGTTCACAGGAGCCTCAATGCCCTACCAGAAGGCCTTGCCCTAGAAGGCCCTCCCCCTCCCGCTCCCTGAAGGAATGGAGGAGGAGCACCTACTGTCTGCGTAGTCCTGGACATCGTGAAAATCCACACGCCGCCGTCGCCGGTCCTCCTCCAGCAGGTCACTCTTGGTGCCACAAAGGTAGATCTGACAACCCTGGGGCAGACCACAAGGTCACTATTGACTCCACAGCCTGAGGCAGCGCCCCGACCCCACGCCCCAGCAGGGCTGAGGTCTTGCCACCCACCTCCTCCAGGCTACGCAGCTCCTTCACCCAGAACTTGGCTCGCTCAAAGCTGCTGCTGTCGGTGAGGTCTTGACATCAGGCATGTGGAGAAACACGACCAAGGGTCAGGGGCGCCGTTTCCTGGTCCCCACCCCTTGCCTGAGGAAAAGGGACAATCTGGGAATCCCTCTTACCATAGCAGACGATGGCAGCCTTGGCGCCCCTATAGTAGATTCTGCTCATGGCTTCATAGCGTTCGGAGCCTGCTGTGTCCTTAAGCGGGGGTCGGGGGACAGGCTGGTACCTGGCCCGGGTTACTGGGCTGTACCCCGCCCCATCCTCCCTTCCAGGAACCCAGGGTCCCAGAAGCCCAAGTCGGCCCAGCCAACCCCAAGCACCTTCCCCCAGCCAGGATGCTCCGGAGACTCACCCAAATACCCAGAGTCACCGTCCGGTCTCCGACAGACATCACTTTGGCCACGAAGGCAGCCCCGATGGTCTGCAAGGACGGGTGGTTGGCCATCAGGCCCGCGGGCACCCGCCGGCTCCCTCCCACGCGCCCGCGCCGAGGGGCGCACTCACGTTCTGGTAGGGCCCCACCAGGAAGCGGTCGTGCACGTAGCGCTCCACCAGGCTCGTCTTGCCCACGTACTCCTTGCCCAACATCACCACCTTGACGTCCACGCGCTGCCCGCTCATGCTCCCGGGGGCGCGAGGCCAACCCGGGCAGCGCCCCCACCAAGCCTCAGAGCCCGACCCCAAGCGCTAACCCCGCCGCTCGCGCCCGCGCCGTGGTCTGGCGTCTCCGGCTCGGGACGCCGGAGCCTCGTGGGCCGGCGCCCTCCACGCGCCGCACCGATGGCTGCTGCGACCCTCGCCCGGCCGCCCGGCCCCGCGGAGCCCCTCAGGGGCCGCGATCGCACGCTAGGACCCCCTCAGGGGCCGCGATCGCACGCTAGGACCCCCTCAGGGGCCGCGATCGCACGCTAGGACCCCCTCAGGGGCCACGATCGCACCCTAGGACCCCCTCAGGGGCCACGATCGCACCCTAGGACCCCCTCAGGGGCCGCGATCGCACCCTAGGACCCCCTCAGGCCCGCGGAGCCCCTCAGCCCCCTTCGCACCCTAGGACCCCGTCCGTCTGGCTCGCACCCGCGTTCCCCTCGGGCCCGCTCGGGCCGCAGCGTCGCGACGCCGGAGGGAGGCCGGGGGGCGGAGCCGAGCGGTCACGTGGGCGGCGCCGGAAGCGGGGCAGCTGCGGCGCCGCGCCGGAAGTGGCGGGCGGCCGGACAGGTCCTCATGGCGGCGACGGCTTGGGCGCGGCGCAGAGGCCACTGACTGGAACTGCGAGCCTGGCGGGCGTGCGCCGAGCCCCGGCCCGGCCCGGCCTCCCGCGTGCCCCCGCACCCCTGATGCTGTGCGGGCGCTGAGTCCGCCGCGGCCGGGACGATGGTGAAGTATTTCCTGGGCCAGAGCGTGCTCCGAAGTTCCTGGGACCAAGTGTTCGCTGCCTTTTGGCAACGATACCCGAATCCCTATAGGTACGTTACCCGGACCAGCCGACCCTGTCCGAGCAGCGCCCTCTCGCCCCGGGCAGGCTGCAGCTAGGGGCGAACCCCCGACCCCTGGGGCACGGGGAGGACTCGGGCTCGTGGCCGGTGTTTCCTGGAGGCCCCGGTCCAAGGTCCTCCCTGGGAACTGGGGCGGCAGGTCCGGCGGGCGCTCCCCACTGGGAGCTGGAATTTGCCCCGGGACACACTCCGAGGACTGCTAGCTCAGGTGTGAGCCAGGCAGCAGGTCGCCCTTGCAGCAGGATCGCCGGAGGCGCTCAGCGGCGACCCCCAAGCCAGGGAGTCCCTCCCCCCCAACACACACCCGCACACCCAGGCAGGCTGCTGAGGGCTGCCTTCGCTCTGCCACCTGCAGCAAACATGTCCTGACGGAGGACATAGTGCACCGGGAGGTGACCCCTGACCAGAAGCTCCTGTCCCGGCGACTCCTGACCAAGACCAACAGGATGCCCCGCTGGGCAGAGCGACTGTTCCCCGCCAACGTCGCCCACTCGGTGTACATCCTGGAGGACTCTATTGTGGACCCACAGAATCAGACCATGACCACCTTCACTTGGAACATCAACCACGCCCGGCTGATGGTGAGCCAGCCCTGTGAATGACCCCCAGGCTGGCAGCCTCCCTGCACCTGCCCTGACTTTCACACCCTAGGGGTGGGGCACGCTGTGGGTGGGGCCCGCAGGTGTGGTGCCAGACGGGCCTTCTTGCTCCACATTATTTTGTTCTTGAAAGAGTTATTCTGATTTGTTGAACAGACACATTTAGAGAGATGGACTACCTCCTGGTTCACGCCCCAGTTGACCACAAGGGCTGGGGCTGGTCAGGCATCCAGAGCTTCTTCCAAGTCTCCCATGTGGGTACAGGGGGTCCAAGGACTTGGGCCGTCCTTTGCTGCTTTCCCAGGCCACAAGCAGGGAGCTGGATGGGAAGTGGAGCAGCCGGAGCTTGAACTGGCATCTGTACAGGATGCTGGCCATTGTAGGCTGGAGCTTAACCCATTGTACCACACTGTGACTGCAGGAGCTTCTGCCTCATGAGATTGTGGTTCAAGGACCATCCCAGTGTCTCCACCGGACATTCTCTGTGGCTCGGTCATCCCGTGAGGGAGAGGTTCCTGTAGCAGAGTATACTAAGCAGAGCCCTTGCCTTGGGTGCAGCCACACCTAGCATGTGAATTGCTCTGACAGGCTTTCAGAGAATTCCCCTTCTCGCCTTGTTTACCCAGTAACCCGAAGTGATGGACATCACTGGATTGCGCAAAGAGGGAAGTGAGACCCAGAGAGAGAGGAAGTGTGTGGTACCTGATGAGCATGCCATAGGCTGTGTCCACACTAGGCATGGGCTGGGCCCTGAGAAGTGGCTGCCTGAAGGAGGGGTTCTTGTTCAAGGGATGGGTACTGTGGGGTCTGTCATACATTTAGGGTCGCTAGCACACGCAGGAAGCTAGACACCTGGGGCGGGCCAGGGGACAGCAGGCTGCACCCCTGGGGTGTGTGACATAGAGGACCAAGGTCCCATTCATGTCCATGGCATGTGCCCGGTGCATCAGAAGGGTCCCCAAGGCAGCTGTGAGAGATCAGAAGGGACTGTGTGGCCACCTTGTCCTCCACCCGCGCCTGGAGCTGGCAGGGGCTCCAGCGCTGCCCTTCAGGCAGGCTGAGCACTGTCACTGAGGTCCGTGTGCCTCTCGCACAGATGGTGGAGGAGCGATGTGTTTACCGGGTGAACGAGGACAACAGTGGCTGGACCGAGATCCGCCGGGAAGCCTGGGTCTCCTCCAGCTTGTTCGGCGTTTCCAGAGCTGTTCAGGTGAGCGGTGTCGTGGGGCCCACACCTGGGCCCAGGGCTCTCTGCCGTCAGGGTCGGTAGGCAGCTCTGAGTCCTTGTCCTCTCTTCTTCCACCAGGAATTTGGCCTTGCCCGGTTCAAAAACAACGTGACCAAAACTATGAAGGGTTTTGAGTACATCTTGGCCAAGTTGCAAGGTGAGAGCTTGGGGGACAGCCCCTTAAAGGCAGCCTGGGCTCAAAGCCTGCCTCAGCCCACCCAGCGAGTGGTCTGTCTCATCAAGGGTGGGGGAGGCCGTGAATGTGGGCACCTGGATGTACCAGCCAAGTGTTTTGGTGGGGGCAGTGACAGGGTTGGTCTAGGGCCTCATCCAAAGCCAGTGCCGGGCCCTGTTGCTGCAGGTGAGGCGCCCTCCAAGACACTGGTTGAGACAGCCAAGGAAGCCACCGAGAAGGCCAAGGAGACGGCACTGGCAGCTACAGAGAAAGCCAAGGACCTGGCCAACAAGGCGGCAAGCAAGAAGCAGCAGCAACAGCAGCAGTTTGTGTAGCTGGCCTGGCCCCCAGGGCCCGGGCCTCCCCACCACTGCCCCTGCACCTCTACACACACTGCACTCAGCCCCTCAGCCCACACCCCTGTACTTGGTGATTAAAAATCAGCTTGCAGCCCTCTCTGCTGTTTGGGTGGGGGCGGGGTGGTGGCTTCTGTCCGCCGTGGGCAGCTGCCGGCAGCAGGGCTACGGCGCCGCCAGGCACAGACTGTAAGCTCCATGCGGGCAGGGCGCGGTTTTGTCCTTTGATGTGTCCCTGCTACCTGGAACAAATAGCTGGCACATTACAGACACTCAATAAACACTTACTGAATTCAGTCAGCCCCAGCTCTGGGTCCAAACCTTGGCTCCACTGTTGGCTGGCCCTCAGGCAGTATGGAGGTGATACCCCGATTTCCTCTTTCTTGGGGAGGGGGTTCCCACTGTTGGCGGGAAAGAACCAGAGCAGTTACAAAGGAGGCTTTTAATGAAAATACTGGGCAGTCTGTGTCATGGGCAGAGGGCATGAGGATTCAGGTGGTTTCTGGCCCCACTGGGGCCAGCAGAGGATAAGTGCTAGAGAGAGCCTGGAAGGGCAAGCTAGGACCCCAGCCCCCTTGCTGTACAGGGGCTGGGGAGCCCCAGTCGCTTCCAGATGAGGGGTACCCCTGGCAGCCAGCAGGGGCGGCTTAGCACCCACTCCCACATCGGGGTCCTTTGAGTCCATTACAACAAGTGACTCCCAGCAGCGCTGGAGGCTTGGCAGGGCGTCTCCTGCGGCTCAGCCGACAGGCAGGGAAGGTGAGGCCCAGGCGCCGGGGCAGTCGGCATCAGAGCCAGGCGCTGGCGCCGTGCGAGTAGCTGTGCTCCCGGCCGGCGCTGAAACTCCGCAGCAGGTCTGCCTCGCCGGTAAACACCAGGCTCTCCACGTCCACGTCCACGTCTAGTTCCTCTGCACAGGGAAGGCCGGTCAGGAGGGCCCCTTCCCCCCTTCCCCGCCGCCACCCGGGCCTCGGGCACTCACCTTGATCAGAGTCCGAGCGTTCCGAGGAGAGGCCCGACGAGTCCAGGCTATGTGTGCGCAGTCGCTCCCGCTCCCCGCTGCTGGACAGCCCGCCCAGCCGCTCCAGCTGCCGCCGCAAGCTCTGCTGCTGACTGCGCAGCTTCTCCTTGAGCCGTTGGGCCCGCTGCTCCTGCTCCTCCAGCTTCTGCAGACCCAGGAAAAGCCAGTGCCGGGTCACCTGGAGTCTGGGTCCCACCCAGCTCCATGTGCCAGAACGCCCCGTGTAAGAGGAGCTGCAGGGTAGATTCATTTCCACCCCATACGAGTCTCCTTTGGAGTACTGCCAACTAATTTAAAAATTGTTAGAAAGCTGTAGACCAGACAGCCTGCCAGCTTCTAACCCCCGGGGGCGGGGGGCGTGGGAAGGGGGCTAAGCCTTGGGTGTCAGCCCCGCCCCCACCCTTCCTTGCAAAGCCCCAAACGGGTGACCATTCAGCCAGGAGGGGCTGGGGGAGAAGAATGAATAATAGCTGCATGAGGCACAAGGATGCTAGGACACGCAGCTCAGCTCTCTGGTGAAGAGTGGGTAGAGGAAATACGGCTGTTTAGCAGGTTTGAAGGGCCCTGAGTCCACAAGAAGTAAGAGACCGAGACACTATCCTGCTAGAGTGTGCAGCAGAAGCTGGGCAAAATGGAAGAGAGCTCGGTGAAGACCAAACAGGAAACAGGTGGAAAATCAGAAGTCCAGGAGCAGGTGTGGGTCAGCATCCCGGGCACATGGCATCCACCTGACAGCCAGGCCAGATGAGCCGCACGTGAGAAGCAGGCCCTCGGGGCTGGCCAGACTTGTTCTACCACAGCAGGTGGGGTGGGGACACGGTGTAATGACAGCAGCAAGGAGACGGCGTGGACACGTCCCATGACCATGATTTATTTGCCGGATGACACAAGGCCATGCTAGAGCCTAGAATAGTTTTGGCAGAGCCAGCACACAATAAATACTAGTCAAAGGAAAGAATGCAGGTCAGGCACCCATGCGCCTCCCATCGCCTGTGTGGCCCTGCCCTTGGCCCCGCCATGCCTCCATCTCTCCCTTTGAGTGTAACTTCCAAAGCCACTTGATTCAAATCACCAGGGCTGCCTGAGCCGGGCCTTGGGCATAGCCACTCCTGCCCACCAGGGGGCGCTGGCCTCCCCGAGCCCTTTCCAGTCCGGGTATCTTGAGTGCTGGCCAGAGCATCAGCATGGGCAGCCCTGAAAGACCCGGAAGGGCAGAGAGAGCGTCGCCTGTCCACGATGCAAGGGGCCCTTCCACAAGAACCTAGAGTCTGCTCAACAGCTGTGCCTTTAGCAAGTGAGGCCTCAGCGCCATCCACTTACTCGATTTGGAAACCAGGAGCACAGAAGGCTCTGCTAGCCAGGTGCCACGCTGGACCCCCACTCCCTGCACGAGACAACCCCTCACCTGAATGTGCGTCCTGGCACGGCGCAGCAGGCTCAGCGTCGTGTACCGGGCGCAGTCGGCCCCCAGGGGCATCTGTTGTTTCAGCTGCTCCAGGCACCGCTTCAGCTGTGCCCTCCTGTGGGGGGATGGAACGGGAGGGCAGTGCCAGCCCTGCCTTGACGGCCAGAGGGGAGTGGGGGAGGAAAGGCTGGAATGGGGGGTCGGGGAGAGGAATGGTTCAAGGGCTAGGCACTGCCACTCACCTGCGCTTCTCCAGCTCGTTGTGCACGGACCTGCCGAGGTCAGGGGGCAGGGTGAGGAGCCGTCAGGCACCACCCTTCCCCACAGTCCCCAGTCCCCCCTTCCCCAAAGCACAAAACCCACCCCAGCAAGCTCAGCAAGAGAGGAGGAAGGTGTGTCTCCAAGCGGCAGGGGGTCCGAACGAGGGTTCCAGCCTGATTGGCTGGCAGGTGCCTCCTGGACACCGGTGGCAGCTAAGCAGAGAAGCAAGCGTCCAACAGTGGGGTCTGCAGGGAGAGGTGCTCACACAGGTGGCGGCAAACAAGGAGAAGGAGGAAGCCTGACCACAGGGGGGTGGATGCAGGAGGTGGTGTGATGACTGGGGGCGCAGGACTGCAAGGGCACAACCCAGGTGATCCCAAAACAGTCCTTGACTTAATAACAACAAAGATGTATGTTTGGGGAGGAAGGGATGTTACAAGTGTCTGGATGCCCCCCTCCCCAGCAGGGTACCTGGCCCAGAAGATGCAGGCAGCAAGGAGGAAGTGAGCTGCAAGAGGAGCCCCATGACGGATGGCGCCCAGCATTTGCCCACCCCACCACATCCCTACTCCTCTGCTGCCCTTACCGTCCGCTGTCCAGCGCTGCCGGCTGCGGGGGTCGCTTCCTCCTCCTGTAGATGGTGCCCTGACTGCGGTGCGGGCACAGGGACGCGTATCCGTGCTCGGCCTCTGCCAGACAGAGCGCCCCCAACATCCCTTAATCAGGCTGGACGGCCAACCAGGAGCTTTTGGCGCCAGGACAATTCTCCCCCAGCCCGACCGGCCGCAGAAGCCTCTGGAGCTGAGGACAGAGGCGCCCCGGGACTGCTGACCCTAAAACCGTGTATCCTCCCAGCAGCGACCCGAGTCCCGCCCAGGCCGGTGTCAGCGAAGTCGCCAGCCCCCGGGCTAGCCAAGGGTTCTCCCTCACCCCTCTCGCGGCGCTCCAGGAACTCGGCCGCCTGCAGCAGGACCTGGATGTTGCTGGCCACGGGCTCCATGTAGGCGACCGCTGGGGGCGGGCGAGTCCGGGGTGGCTGGCCCGAGCAGAAGCTCCACCACTTTTGTTACAATGTAACTGACACGGTGCAACAAACACGGGCGCCTCGCCCCGCCCCCAGGACGCCCCGCCCCGGGGCCGGCAGTCCGCCCTCCTGCAGTCCGCCGGCCCAGGGCAGCTCGGGGTCTCTCGCGGGGCCATGGTCGGCCTGCGTCCCGAGCCTGGACCGGCCCTGGGCGTCCGGGGCGCTCGGGCGCCGGGCCGGTGCTCGCAGCAGGTGCCCGGCTCCCGGGGGCCCCCCGATCGTCCCCGTGGAGGCCCCTGGGGCCCCGCCGCTGCACGTGCGCGCTCTGGAGGCGGGGCCAGCCGGGACCCCCTCGTCCATTGGCCCACTGCCTCCCTGGACACCCAGTGGGCACCCTGGGGGCGGGACCGGGCGCCCCTGCAGCCCCATTGGCTGGGGCGCGGCCACGCCTCCCCGCCGCGGCCCACCCTTTCGGGCGGGAAAAGAAGCAGGTTTCAAATTTGAAAACCCGGGCGGCGGGGCGGGGAGTGGGGCGGCAGTGCGCAGTCGCCGGCGCGGGGCTGGGCGCGGGGGCGCGGGGGCGCAGGGCTGGGCGCAGAAGCGCGGGGCTGGACGCGGGGGCCCGGGGCTGAGCGCAGGGGCGCGGGGATGCCAGGGCGCGGAGCTGGGCACGGAGGCGCGGGGCTGGGCGCAGAAGCACGGGGGCGCGGGGCTGGGCGCAGAAGCACGGGGGCGCGGGGCTGGACACGGGGGCGCGGGGCTGGACGCGGGGGCCCGGGGATGGGCGCAGGGGCGCGGGGATGCCAGGGCGCGGGGCTGGGCACGGGGGCGCAGAAGCGCGGGGATGCGGGGGCGCGGGGCTCCGGGCGGGCTCCTGCTGCGCCGCGCTGGCCGCGTCTGCGTCCCTAACTGCTGCGAAGCCGCAGGAAGCTCCGGGAACACCAGCCGTCACGGCCCCCCAAGCCGGGACGTGGCCTGGAAGCGCGCCAAGGTGGTTCTTGTCCGGTCACGGGCCTGTCCGCCGCCGGCCTGGATGAGGCCAGGCGACCCCTCGGCCTGCGACCGCGTGGCGGGAAGGTCAGAACCGCAGCTTGCGCGCAAAGCGCCCGGGCGGACCGGGCGGCTCACCGGCGGGGCGCGGAAGCAGCGGGACAGAGTGTGCGATCCCGCAGCCGGGGAGGAGCGGAGGGCTGGTTCCTCACAGTCAAGGCCTCCGTGCTCAGCCAAGAGGGTCACCTGTCCGCCGGACGCTGTGCTGGGCAGTAGGGGCCACCAAGAAGGGCCTGGCCAGGCACAGCGCACAGAGCTTTCACGAGAGACGCCACACAGCAGCCACGCTTCTATGATGTCCCAGGGCGAGTGGGCGAGGGTCCCCAGTGGTCCTGGGGACTTGGGCGTGCCATCTGGGAATGTCCACTCGCTGCCCCTCCGCTTCCGGGTCAACTTCCTACTGAGAAGCAGCAGATGGGCTTGGCAGAGTGCCACCTGAAGGCACATCCCGGGGTTGATCTAATCTGGGAGTCTCCGAGGTTCAGGTGGAGGAGCAGGTGTCCCGTGTGTAAAGGAGGGCGGGAGTGGCATGTACCCTGTGTTGGCTTAAATGCAGGCCAGTGGATGCTGCAGCCTAGACAAGCCTGGCTCAGCCCACACACATGCCTGGCCTCAGGTCCAGCTCTCACTGATGAGTGCAGCTGCCTGCCTAGCCCGGCTCAGCGTTGGCTCTCATGCTCATCAGTGGGAGCTGCAGCCTAGCAGGGGAGTCCCCCAAGTTCCCCTATGGGACCTGCTTCCAGCCCTACATCTTGTACATGTTGGAAGGTGCTACAGCCTAGCCTGGCATGGACCTTTCCCAGTCTTGGCACTCACCAGCTGCTCCAGCCAGCAGAGCCAGTAACGTGGACAGGGAGAGGGTCTGGGGACGAAGCACCGACAGGAGACCAGTGATGGTAGAAGTCTCTGCCAAGTCTCTCTTTATTGTTCCTTCACCTTTCCTTATATACCCTTCCCTCCACATCCTCATTTAGCAGGATATTGGATACAGATGAGTCCAATTAGTCTAGGTGATTTTAGCCACAAGCCCAGTTCCTGTTCCCGCCCAGGCTAAGAAGCACTAATCAACTCCTTAGCCCACAAGAGCCAGCAAATGCTGTAGCCTGCTCTGGCCTGGCCCACTGCAATTCCTGGCACTCTCCAATGGGTGCTGCAGCCCAGCCCAGCCTGCTCCTGGACCCAGTTCTTATGTGTGCCGCAAGAGCCAGCTCCAGCTGGGTCTGGTCCCAGGCATGGTTCTTGTGGGTGTTGGTGGTTGCATGGCCTTGCCTGGCCTGGCCTGCAACCAACCCTTGCTCCTGGGGCGCACTGATGGTACTGCAATCCAGCAGGAGTGAGCCCACAAATCCCGCACTGGATCCATTCCCAGCCCTAGTTAACCTATATGTGGGTGGGTTCTGCAGCCTAGCTAGAAGTAGCCCAAGCACGCACTTGACAGCAGGTGCTGCTGCTTCCTAGCCCAACCCAGCTGTCCCACAGGGCAGGGGCCTTGGCCCAACACAGATATGTCTTCCAGATTCTATTTCTGAGTCAACTCCCTTGGTCTGTTCCTTGTGAGTATAGCGGCCTGGTCCTCCTGTGGTCCCCAGACCTCCTAACCCAGGCAATCTACAGACCCCTGCCCACCCCTGCTGGCTCAGCACTGATGGCTTCTGCTACCATGGCATCGTGGTATCGCCTGGCACCTTTCCCTGCTGGGCCACATGGCACGCTATGTTTTTATTTTATCCCCCCAAAAAAGAAAGACTGGTTCACTCCCCCAAATGCCTGCAACACCCAGGGCTGGGCAAGTGAAGGTCAGTGGCCTGCGGACCTCATTACTGCCTCCGTCAGCAAGGGACGCCGTCAGCAAGGTGGGTGGGAAGCAAGGCAGCTGGGACTCGAAGGAGCGTGCAGAGACAGAATGGCACACCATGGTGTCCTTCCTGGGCTATTCCTGCTGCCACAGTGTCTTTTGATTATGCAACATATTCTGAGCCCAGCACGGTAGTCTAGTGGCTAAAGTCCACACCTTGCATGTGCCAGCATCAAATATAGGTATCAGTTCGCTTCCTGGCTGCTCCATTTCCCTTCTAGCTCCCTGCTTGTGGCCTGAGAAAGCAGTCCAAAGTGTCCCCAAAGCTTTGGGAACCCTGTACCCATGTGAGAGACCCAAAAGAAGCTCCTGGCTCCTGGCTTCGGATAGGCTCAGCTCTGGCCATTGTGGTCACTTGGATTGTGAACAGCAGATGGAAGATCTTTCTCTCTGTCTCCTTCTCTTTGTAAATCTGACTTCCCAATAATAATAAATAAGTATTTAAATAATAATAATAAAACATTCTCCTGCTTCCTCTTACTTTTTTTTTAAATAACTCCATAATTTAAAGGGAAAGTGAAGGAAAGTATCTTGGCGCAAGGTGCAGGCTGCACAGTCTGGCTGCTTCTCTGGGGAACTAAGCAAGCCACTGACAGCGGAAGTGAGCTTATCCTGCAGGTAAGCCGGAAGCGAACGGTGTCCGTACAAGTCCGTCCCTACTCCTGCTGCCACGTGCAGGATCAAGGGCTCTCCCTGGCTCGCTGACTTGACCCAAGGACTCCCAGAGCCCACTGGGAGCACTGGGCTTTGCTGTATAACCTTACAGGTGGACAGATAATGGTGGTCCAAGAGGGAACAAGCAATGGGTACCCGGGCTGATGCGGACGCACGACCTCCAGGGAATTGGGACACTCTGCCCCCTGTGTGATGGCGCACAGAGTTTCTATGCAGCTTGTCCTCCAAGGTGGCATGGACTGGCAGCCTGGTTCACGACGTGACGGAGCCTGTAGCAGAAGGCCCAGGACAAGGGCATTCAGACCTGGGAGGCCGCCCTGCCCTGTTGCGGGATTAATGTTCTCCGGGAGGGTGAATGGTTCCAGAAAAGGGTGGGTGCTTGTTACTGGGGGAGTGTGTTTCTTGTTCCCATGCTCGCTTGCTCGCTCACTCTCCCAAACACACTCCCTCTGGGACGTGGTGGGCTCAATGGGGCCCTCACGGGAGGTCACCTGCTGGGCCACCTGCTCCTGAACTTGGGCCTTGGGAAAGGCACAGGTGGGAAATGGGTTGAAGTATACGAGGGACCTTGTTCCCCAGGTCGGCTCATCAAAATCTTGCACTTCAGCTCCGGGCTCCCTTCTGCAGGCATGATGGCATGGACAACCTCAGGCCCCGTGCAACCGCGGGCCAGAGCCCCACCCTGAATGACAGTGACTGGTTTTCCCGCAGAAGCCATATGGCAGAGTGATTTTAGCCCAACGCCTGGGGAGCTGATTGTAACCAGCTGCGGCCAGAGGTGGGCCACAGCAAGCATCCCATCCTCAGTCCTGGCTGCTCCACTTATGATCCAGCTTCCTGCTAATGCATCTGGGAAGGCAGTAGAAGATGCCCTGCACCCATGTGGGTGACCCTGATGGAACTCCGGGTTCCTGGCTTCTGCCTAGCCTTGTCCCAGCTCTTGTGGCCTTATGGGGAGTGGAATTAGTGAATGGAACATCTCTGTCTCTCCCTCTCTCTTTGTAACTCTTTCAAATAAGTAAATAGAGCTTAACCAGTTAACCCATTCAATAAAATTATGGCACCATTTCATATTTTTGTACTCACTACATTTTATTTATTCCTCCTCCTGGTCTACTGAGATAAGCACCATACAGAAAACCTGTGGCGGCCAATGGCACGGAATGAGGTGCTGGTTGAATGGATGCAGTATTTCTCCCTCTGCACTCAGTTTCCTGTGCTGCTGACTGTCAATGCCAGGATCCAAGCCTTCCCCACAGGGCCAGTGCTATGCCATGCTGCAGTGCCAGTGCTATGCCATGCTGCAGGACCAGTGCTATGCCATGCTGCAGGGCCAGTGCTATGCCATGCTGCAGGGCCAGTGCTATGCCATGCTGCAGGGCCAGTGCTATGCCATGCTGCAGGGCCAGTGCTGCGCCATGCTGCAGGGCCAGTGCTATGCCATGCTGCAGCGCCAGTGCTATG